TGCTAAATTTACAAAGCGTGCCAGATAGCTGGTGGCCACTATTGAATTAAGAATAGTAGGTTACTGATTCATCCCAGATTCCAATTATAGTTATACATAAATTGTGCACTTATAAAAACCTTACAAATAATTCTGCTTTTCCAGGAAGACATTATAGGTATAACAACTTAACATGTGCAGTAAGAAAACATCTTATTATATTCTTAAAACCACAGATTAATTAAACAATTCAATAAACTGAAGGCTATTATGAGTAAAGAATTCTACTTATAAAGACCTCTTCATATTTTCATGTCTGAAATAACAGCATTTTGTTTGTAAATACATATATTTTAAGTTTTTAATTGTTAACGCAAGGAAAGTAAAGCATTTTGAAATATGATCTGATAGAAAGCCATACACACATTTAAATCAGTAGTTTATTTAAGAATATTTCTAAGGTATTGCAAAATTAAAGTAGATTTGCTGTCAAATTATGTGAACTGACAGATTATTTGAATTGTTTTCTAAAAAAAATAAGTGGTTGATTACATTTAAATGAGCAATATTACAAAGAGATGATAGAAATTTAGTTGACAACATATTGTATTGTGTTCTGAGAATTCTGTGAGGAATCCAAATTTCATTCTCAGGCAATGTACTGAGGCCACTTGGTACAAAAGAGAAAATGGATAAAGTTTTAATATTATTGTGAATAAATCCTTTATATCATTTTTTTTTCTGGGAAAATACTGCCTTTGTCATGTTAATAGCACATCTCAAAAATGAAATGCTAAATATTTTAGGAGCAGATCATAATGTTTCAATGACTAAGATAATCAAAATGAGTCCAATTTTTATCCTGATAATGAGTAAATTTGCAAAGAGGAAAGAGACAAACTGAAATTGAATACATGAAAACACCTAGTCCCACTTTAAATATGTATAATCCACTACCCACATATAGTACTGTATTTCATTTTCAAAGATGTAGAAGTAAAAGTATTCACATTTACACTTCTTATGGAAATTATTCTTCTATTTAGGAAAACCAATTATACTAAGTTAACATGGGAAACTTAGAAGAAATTCTCCTGGGAGACTTATTCAGCTGAGAATTTCTCTTTAGAATATAGTTTAGAAAAGTAATTAAAGAGGTCTCAGGTGTGTTTTCCACCTGTAGGTCAACCTTCTTAATCTGAATTACAGTTCATGGTTAAAGTTAATGCTTTTGGTGAAATAAATTAATAATGGCAATTCAATTTCTTAGATACAAATGTGAACATTAGAAAACTATAATTACTGCATGAATCTTGGCAAGATAGTGGAGTGATTGAAGATTAGTAACCATTCATGTCCTTATCTTTGGATACATCCCTCATAAGAAGGTCTAACCTGGACACGCTAGCATGAGCATGTCAAGTCTGGACTTTGGAGACTCCATCTGCTCATGTGTTGTAAGTACTTTCTTTCCATCCCAAATCACTTCTATCACTGTTTTATCATTGAAATGAAAAGTCATCAAAGGAAAGAATTATGTTTATCAGTTGTATTAATGCAAATCACATTGGGTGTGTTTTGTGAGCACACTTCATGCTACCATATCCGACCATGAAGACAGTACACACATTTAGTATGCAAAATGGAAGTGTTCATGGTTCATCACTCTTCCTTTTCCAGTATCTCTTAAGGTATGGCTCATAGTCTCATGGAGACCCTTACAAATGCTTAAGATTGGGTACAGATGTTTTAAGAAAATACAGATTCCTGCTCCTCACAGCAAACAAGAAACTTATTCTACCAGTAGGGAAAAATATAAGTAAGTGATTAATTTGCTTTTTGGAAAATATTTGACAACTCTTCCCCCATGTTAGACTTCTCCTCACTACATTATCATTCACAGGCTATTTGTATCAACTGGTGTTTTCAAGGAAAGAGAATCAGTGCATAAAACATAAAAAAGGGATAACTAGTGTCAAAATACAATAATGCATTCCAATGTCAAGAAGCTATGATTTGTGGCACTGTTTGTAATTAAGTGATAATCAAGAAATGAAAATTCCAATTATTTCTCCTGGGAAAACTACTATTAATACTATATGGAGATGAAAATCGTAGGGATGAGAAAGTAAAAATGTTCGTCTGTATCTTATCTCTACTGGAGGTTTCAGGGACTGGGAGGGAATAATGGACAAAGCCATGGGTAGAGCCAGTAAGACTTTAGGGAATTAAGGATTGTAGGGGAATGCCCCTGGTGAGGGACTGTTTTGAATGCTTTTTTGCACACCCCAGAATGACATGATGAAAAAGTGCAGGTAGATGGGCAGCTTCCTCATCCCCCAAATTGAACTTATTTATTTTCACATGCTGTCTTTTAAACTAGAGTATTAACTGAATGACCCTATGAAATATCTTAGAGAATCATAAAAATAGAAGTTTTCTCTATTTTATTCCTAGAGGGAAAGGAGTTTGGGCACTTTTCCTGGTAGGGGAACAGGATTGACTTGTGAATCTTTTGGCAATAGAGAAATCTTAACCTCATATTCTTGGCTATAAAATTCCTATTCATCAGCAACAGAGTCCAAATTGGCACATTTTTAAAGGAGAGCTGGATTCACCGATTGAATACAGAGTCATACCAGGTCAATGGCACCCCATAGTCTTTGTTCCCATGGGCAATTTAAGAGATAGCTGGTTAAGAATTATACATAACTTGAAAAGAATGACATGCATTATCAACTGGAGTGGGGCAGAATATAAAGCAGAGTAATAAGAATTAATGTTTTCACCAACTACTTATTTTCACACTTTACATGTGTATTACAAGTTTAATGTAGGCAAGAATTGCTGATATAATTACTGTGAGGTGAAATGTGTAAAAATAATCCTACAAACAGGTAGTGCATATCAACAGCAACACAAGTGCTTTGATGGAGATGGAAAACATAAGAGAAAAAGGCTAAACGTTCTTATTATAAGAAAAATAATAAGGTTTAAATGATTTAAAACCTAAAAAAATTAATATACAGACACTATCCTCCACTCAATACATGAGAAAATAATTTGGATATAAAAATGAAGCATTTTTATATTTTGGTTTTCTTAAAATACAATTTCTCCTCAAAAATAATATTTCAACTATTTCAGAAACTTAAAATCTGAAATAGCTATTTTTAATCTGGGTTCCAAGAAAGAAAATGAAACAAATATTTATAACAAATTGGTTGCTATATCTTGGAAATAAATGAAAATCACATTTTACCTTTTTGATCAAACAGGTTAGAAATAATGGAGCTCATGATGCTGTTCATATTCTAGGAATACCCACAAAATAAGGGCAAGTAAAATCAGGTTCCTAATTCTTTATGATAAGAAACAGTACCTTCTCAGAAGGCAAATAAAAGAAATCCAAGATCAGTGATAATGGAGAAGAGAGTAAACAAAATGTTTAAGAATTCTAGCACTGTAAGTTTAAGCTTAGGACTGTCAATTTTTGTACAATTTTCACATAAAGTAAAACTTACAATTATTCTTGGTAATATGGATGTCTGTACAGTGTCATTTTCAGGTTACCTGGGTTTGAGGTAAGGACTTTTTGGTCTGAATTGTTCATTCAGGTTTCTGCAGTTTGAGAGCGTGGGGCTGCTCTCCAGGGAGCAGTCTTGACACCTGACACTGGCTACTGTGTAATTAATTGGGATTCATTTAATTATAGCTTAAATCTGTAACATAAATTTAATTCTGCTTTTTTTCCTCCTCCACAGTTCTGACCAGCACCCCTGACATGTACAGGCAAAAATCTTTATTTTCAGAAGAAACCAATCTCTATGAACGCAAGAGAAATAAATTATCTGGGATCAAAAACTAACAAATATACTGCCAATTTTTTACTTAGAGACCACAAGCCTACAGAAAAGAGAAGACTCCTTAAAAGGGAGGTTAAATGATACTTTTCAAAGTCTGTGGAGTTTGTGTATACAGTTGGTGTTTATCAGTGGTTATTTGTGTCATGATTATAACACAAAGGATCACCAAATTATCTTTTAAAATCCAGAGTTCAAGTTCATATTTTTAAATTAATATTTGGTGCTTGCATGTATAATAAACACAAGTTGAAAGATCTGGAAAGTGTAACAGAGCAAGATGCTTTCATAACATTTTTAACATTTCCTCATTCTTTGCTAAACTGTCAGTTACAACATATATATTTATTCTACTGAAGACAATAGCCAGATTGATCTCTCATTAGTGTAACTGACTGATCAATCATCAATCAATGTTACTGTGGTCATTTTGTAAGCAAAGTGTTACTACAGATGATCTGCTTCAGAATTGAAGACCTCTGTACTGGAAACAGAGCAGATGCTCTGCTGCTAGAGAGAAGGTTCAGCAGAAGTGACTGATACCAGTCCCTTCTGCTGATAACAAGCAAAACGCAGGCTCAAAAAAGTAGCGTTCCAGAAGTCCTCAGCTGTCCTAATAGCTCTTTTCTTCCTTGAGTTGAAATTCTCAAACGTTTCAATGTGTTTCCTTGCAAGGTCTATGTAGATATGTTCACAGGAAGTCTGAATAAAAACCAGATACCATTTCACACTAGTATGTTTTAAAAAATTTACCTCTAATATGTCTGGTGAGAAGTGACAAATCCAAGCAAATGGTCTTATTATTACTTCTGGGCTTTATCATGTTAAGGAGATATATGTTGCTAAAATATGACAACCCCTGTCACTTTATTGCTATGGTCTAGGTAATTTGAGCTAATTAATGATTTCTGTATCATCTAACATCTTGACAAACAGATCAAGAACTCCCTTTAAAGCAGTTATTGCAGAAATATACTGTGTGAGGCCCCAGTTAAGCTTTTGTTGATTTGAAGTGTTTTTCTCAAATAAAAAAATACAAAAATACTTTTCACTGAATGTAACTGAGAAATTGTTTGATTTGACATAGGATGAAGACACACTTTCATTTCTTGAGACAGTACACTTTGGGATTCACAGGATAACTTGCATGAGACACGATTTAATGAAAGCTCTCAAATAAGCAATTTTATTCCTATCCATGATTGCAGACATTTACAAAACCATAACATCTGAGTTCACCTTAAAAAATAACTTATATAAAGCAGTGATATACACAGCACAAAATAGTTCAGGGAAGGGGCAGGAGCAACTTTTAATAATTAAAATGTAAACGTGAAAAAAAGGATGGAATAAAAGTCCCTACTTATTTCTACTTAAGATGTCATGTGATAATATTTTACAATGTCCCGTGGGTCAATGTATGTATGCGTATATGTCCATATAACATCCGCATATACGATACATTCTCTTTCCCACACATATACATACACAGATAATTATTTGCAGTTCAGTTTAGGGCAATTCTGATGTGCCGCTCCGTACAGTTGTTTGGATCACTTTTGGACCTGCTTTCTTCACAAAATAGGGGAGAGAGCAGGAAATAAAAAGATTGGTTTGGTGTGGCCGAGATTCCTTTGTTTAACTGTACACTGTGATGAATAATTTTCTTCCGTAGTAGTTCTGTGAAGGGCTGACTCACTGTGGTTTTCATAAGGAGACTTGGTAATGGATCACACACTCATTGTCATGCTAGGGGAGTACTAGAAAGAAAGAAGAATCCATATTTAATGGCAATTTTCTTATGTTCTTTCATGCTTAAGATTTTTACCCTATATGACATAAAAAGAAAAAGTTTTATACAGACTTAATTCTAAAATTTTTATTATTTCCTCTGCAAAGCAATTGATCCAATTCTCTCCCAGACCCAGGAGGCTGATAATCCAGTCCCTCAGCCTTCTCCTTCCAGACAGATTTATGTTTTGCTGGCAACTGTAACAACTTGAGTAACCAGTCCAAGGTGGATCATAATGAAATAATTATGAGGACTTATCTTTGCTATCTATTTAGCAATGTGTACTGGAGAGTTACTTAACTCTCTCAACTTTAGTTTCCTCACCTGTAAAATGGATTTAATAATATTATCAAGGGGTTCTGAGAAGATTAAATAAATATAAAGTCCTTAAACAATGTATCTTATTGGATACTTAGAAAGTGCTCATTAATTCTAGGTGAATAGTGGAGATAAACCAAGCCAAACCAACTCCCAGCTGGTCCTAAGTTTTCATTAAAACATTTAAAATACCTTTAAGAGTCTGCTTTAGACTTTACCATATGAACCTCTTCCCCTAATATGACTCCAATCTCAATCCACAATCATTTGAGTGACAATAGGGTCACAGTTGTTACGTTTACTTGGCACTCTGATTCCCCAGACAAGGGATTCAAGATGAGGCTTTCAGAAATGTGCAAAAAGTGGCCTCAAAAATGATTTATAAAGGAAGAAGAGCAATTATTTTGTTTTATGCCAATCTACCTTCATGGTATTGAGGAGCAGACTGTGACAAAAAAAAAAAAGTTCTAGAACAGCACTGTTCAGGATAATTTCCTTCAGTGACAGACCTGTCTTACAATCTGTGCTTCCAACACAGAAACCACTGGTCACATGTGGCTACTGAGCACAAGAAGTGATGCCAGTGCAACTGAGAAATGAAAAATTTTAATGTTATCTAATTTTCATTTATTTAAATATCTACATGCAGCTAGTGGCCATCACTTTGAAAAACAGCCCTAAATTGGCTGAACTGTGAGAAGAGCCATCTAATCTCACATAGTAATGGTCTCTAGATAAAAAGGCTTCTAAATTAAAATGTAAATGTGGACCCTGAAATATTTTAAGTGCTTTATTGAAAAGCTGTGAGGACCTAGGCAAAAGGTGATTCTTTTCAACATGCAATTAATGGTTGTGCCTTATGAAGAGGCAAATAAAGTCTAAGGGATTGGTCCAGGGCTGTTGGGGCTTAACCAGGAACAGTGAGGCTCCTGGGGAGAGAATACAACTTTTTAGAAAGGTGGCAGACAGAGAACGGAATGAATAGATGGGTTGTTGAAACTAGTAAAGAGGTGTGAGGTGTGTACTGAGATGAGGAGAACCAAGGGAAGGATTTCCCCTGGAGGGCAAAAGGTGATCATGGCTCAAGTGGAAGACTTCTGAACCAAAAGTCACAAGGGCTCAAATACAAAGCACATTGTTCCTGAGTAAAGGTGGAGAATGAGGCTGGGAAAAGGGTCACTGGGCCATGGGGGAGAAATGTTAATCCTTCAAACATGGGCCACAACAAGGAAAATTTAATCATCTTGTTAATCATCTAATAGCCCAAAGTTTTGTTTCAGTAAAAGAACTAAGTCAAACAGTCAATTCACTCCAATGTTGGATAATAGGGTGATAAAAAGGGGATACTGCCAGAGAAGAGAAAGATTCAGTCGGATAGACAAACATCTCTCCCTTTATTCTCGATCATGGTAGCAAAAAGCAAAGCAAAGCAAAACCAAACCAATCATGGAAACATTCATAGACAGGGCAGCTGATGGAGCTCACCTGACCCTATGCTGGAATGGGAATATACCCCATTTCATTACAAGGTACCAGCATAGTCTTGCAAGACAAATTGTATACTTGAGCTTCAATGAGTTATCCACAGCCTTTGACTAACAGAATTATATTTTGTAGTTTATTTTCAGGGGAAAGCATTAAACAATAATAAATGGATATCAAGGTTTTATTAGAAGTAGAAAAAATCAAAAGTATATGGCAAAATGGGCACTGAGAATTTTTTTTAAAAAATTAGTTTTAGGTGAACACAATATCTTTATTTTTATGTGGTGCTGAGGATCAAACCCAGGGCCTTGCATGTGCTAGGCGAGTGCTCCACTGCTGAGCCACAATCCCAGCCCCTGATAATTATTTTAAAATATAGTGTTTATTGAGTATACTATGCCAACAGTTAAAACAGTGAGTTACTAAAGCATTTCAGAAAGAACCTCAAAGGAAAATTTACTTGTTAATCATCTTTTAAAAATTCCTGGATAAATCATAGGAATTTAAATAATCAGGATTTTAAAAGTTCTTGAATCCTTTTACCATAGTACTCCAGTTCATTTGTATATCATGTAACATTGGGAAATATTCTTAAAATATATAGTAGTCCTCACCCTAACAGACATTTTGTTAAGAGATGTATATATGTAAAGCTACACACATGCACATACACTGTTATCAAGTATTTTTTTTACTAGTTGCTACCATCCTGTAACACCAGTAATTCTTAACATTATCAACCTGTGATATTTCAAATATCTCTAGCAAATCTTATAGAAAAATGATAATTTGTTACTAATTCATTGGGAAATTAAAATAAATAGGTTTCCCAGGGAGGAAACTGAAAAAAAAGGAGTATAATATCATAGAGAAAATAAGGAACACATTCAGTCAGAAAGGATGAAAGCATTAGCTCCAAGAAAAAACACTCAGAAAAATTATCAAGCATCTAATAAAGTATATTTTTTGAGTAGTATGAATAACTATAGAAATGTTGTGCTAATTGTATTTGACACAGTAAGTAAGCTAATTGTATTTGCTTTTATGGCTGAGTGTCTACATAAACAATGTGCTATTTGTCCTCCTAAGGCTGTAGACCGCTCATCTTTTAACTGCCTTTATTGAAACTGTTTCAACTAAATGAAATTAAGGGGAAATCACAAAATTTCTAGGAAAACTTACAGAATATGAAAGCAAAAAAGAGTTTTTCTATTGATTGCTATTCTTCAAGGTACTAGAGAAGTGGCTAATGTTTTTCCAGAAGAAAAGGAAGAGTAGGTGTTAAATGGGATATCATATTTAGAGACATAAAATATTCATGGTATACTATACTGTGGCCAAACTTCAGTGTTTCTATTGTATTGCTGCATCAATATGTGATGGCAAATTGTAATGTCTGTATCAAAATGCTGTGATATCAGGTTGCCCTGTTTCAAAATATTCTGAGTATTCTTCTCCACAGAGGATAAAATGGTTCTTACAAAGCTGTGAACAACATTACCATTTTATTTAGCAAAGATTAAAACCTAAAGATATCATTTTTAGCATATATCAACTTATTTTACCTGAACTATATTTTTAAATGGTATTCTTTGGCATGAACTTGTGATATTTTCATTGTTATATACCTAGTTCATGTATCATTGCATCTATCAGAGATATTCACTAAATCTTTGAGCAATGTCAATACATTTCTGTTTATGTATTTCAAGATCTCACATTAGATCTTACTACATTCCTGTGTCTTAGTTTCTATATAATATTTTATTAATGATAAATAAAGAATAGTTCTGTAATTCTCATATAAAATAAAGCAAAATAAATTTAGAGGTTATATGACTACATCAAAAATTTGAGTTGTTGGGATTTCTGCACAGTAACAGAAACAGACAAAGGGGAGTATGTGCAGTAGGAGATGATCAACCACTTTGTTTATAATTTCTATTCAATACTAGGGTTTAATATCATGTGTCCTGAACTGATGCACAAGGAAATATTTTTATTAATTAATTCAGAAGAGTAGACCTATTTATTGCTTTCTCCACTTGGAAATCATGAAAAACTTTTTAAAATTAAGCTTGTCATATTCTGTACCTTCAAAACCCAACACTTTGCAGTTTGAACACTAGGGGGCATCTTTGCTTCTTGAAATAAGAACCTTGTTTGTAATTAAAAAAAAAAAAGGCTGAATAGTGAAATATTTTTTGATTCTCATTTTGCTCTGTCAAGTATGTTGGCACTGAGAGGTTTATGACTTCCACTGGAAATTTTTGTTTTTATATTATTAAATGAAGTAGCATGTATGAAATGACTAGGATAATACCTCATCTATAATAAGCACTCAATTGCTCCCTTACCAAGTCTCTTTTGTGGTCAGAGTAAAATGTCTCAAGTCTTCAAAAGGCAGACTGCTAAAAAAAAATGTGCTTTTAGGATTATGTGCATTAAAAAGACTAGAATTTTCATATTCACTTTTTTGGAAATATTTTCTTTTTGCATTTATTAACAGTATTTTCCTTGATTATAATAAAAACAACTTATGGGAGATAACTAGTTATTTACTTCCTTAAACCCTTACATTTGCCAGCACTAAATTACTTTTTGTTTTTCTTCCTCTCTCCTCTCTTCTGCTTGATCTTACAAAAAACAAAAAAACAAAAAAACAAAAGTCTAAGCAAAAACATGTGGTAATGTGATAAAGAAAGCCACAGAAGGGACACCATCCATTAAAAGCAGACAGACAAAAGGAGGGAACTGCTGCGTGGATCTGCTTTCTGGTTGTGCTACCCTCCAGGGTGTGGTAGAGTGTCTTGATCCACCATCCAAATATTTTTTCCTTTGGGACCTTTCTGTTGGAGACATTGAACCTTCTTGGGTTCAGGGGCTGTGAGGCTGGGCCAGGGTCTGGGATGGGGGAAGACCTGCTTCAGCTGCTGTCCTTTCTAAATGCAGATTTACAACAATCTGTGGCTTTACAGGGAACATAGTCTCGGTTGGATTAAAGGGCAAGGGTGGTGTATAAAGAAATTCTTTAAGTCCTATTTGATTCTCTGCTTCTCATGAAGAGTTTTCTGATGCCAATTTTGAATTGGTACTCCTCTTCTGACTGTTAAACAGAGGAGCATTCATCAGTGACAAATATGGGAAGGAAGGAGAGAGAAGGGCTCCTCTTGTTTCTGCCCATAAAGTTAAAGCCATGTGGAATCTTTTTACAGTTTTTTTTTCAACCCCGAATTAATCTATTTTATTTATTTACATTTAAAACACCTCGCTTATGTCTACTTACCACACTTATTTTTAAAATTTTACTTTTTAAATGGATATATAAAACTATATATATTTATGGAGTACTATATGACTTTTAAAAATATTTTTAGCTGTAGATTGACATGATATCTTTATTTTTTAAAGTTGTACTAAGAATCAAACCTAGTGCCTCACACATGCTATACAAGCACTCTACTACTGAGCCACAACCCCAGCCCCACTATAAGATTTTTGATACATGTGTGCATTGTATAATGTTCAAATCTGGATAAATAAATCCATCTTCTCAAATACTGCACTTCTCTGTGAGAAAGACATTAAATGTTCTTCCTTCAAGTTTTTTTTTTTTTTTTGGAAATACATAGTGCATTTTTATTACCTATAGTCACTCTACTATGCAGTAGTACAACAGAACTCACTTCTAACTGTAACTCAGTCTTTCCGCATATTCTCCTCAGCTTTTGGTAATCAATATTCTATTCTCAAGTTCTATGAGATCAACTTTTTTAGATTCTTACATTTGGGCAAGATCATGCCTGATTTGTCTTTCTGTATCTGTCTTCTTTTACTTTACATAATATCCTCCAGGACCATCCATGTCACAAATCAGAGAATTCCATTCATTTTTATGACTGAATAGTGTTCCATTACATGTATGTACCACATTTTCATTGTCTAATCATCAGTCAATGAACTCCATTTCTTAGCTCTTATGAATAGTGTGTTACATGTAAACATCTGTTTTCCTTATTAGATTGTATTATTTGAGGATGAATATATATTTATCTCAGAAGACTTCATCTTTATCCTAGTTCTTTCCATTTAGCAAGCTCAATAAATTTTCAACTGCATTGATATCATATACCTCATTAGATCATACCATGTTACTGCAGGAAGAATTAAAAGAATAGGAAAGAAAAGGCCTTTAATTAGATAAAATGAACACAGGAAAATGACTCATTTATTCACAGTCCTGAAATAAACCAGTGAAACAACCAGGACCTATAAAATAATTTCTATAATCCTGAGGCATTATGACTTAAACTGTTTCTCATATTTTTTCTATATCCTCATCATGGAAAGCTAAGATTTTGATTTCTTTATATGAATTTATATATATTTATATATATATATATATATACACCTTCTTTGTTCTCACTAATTACATATGTCCTGTAAGTAAAACAAACTAAAAATCAGCACTCTTTTCTAATTTTAACAGAAATAAAACCCCAAAGCAGGGAAGTCTTGTCCCATGAGAGGCTATAGTTTAAGGCCAAGAAGTAAAAGAATCTACAGAACCTAAATCTTAGTTTCCTTGTGGGGAAGCAACCAGTCTGTGCAAAAGTAGAGATGCTATTAGCCACCACTTCAAGTTCTTATGGTATTACCTCTGGTAAAGGCTAAATTGGGCAAAATGGGGGTAGCTGTCTCTTCTCATTCTGACTATAGTTGGCAGGACCTCCATAATAAATTTTAATGATAGTAATGCATATGTGGGGTAATGGATCATATAAAGACGAAATTCATTTAGGTTTTGAAATCTTTTATACTATATACCAATTTCATGATTCTTTTCAGAGAATACATATTAGCATCACCAACAAAGAGTTTTCATTATAGTATACTGCAACTCACTCTTGGAAATTCTGATTCACTAAGCCTAGGGAGGGGTTTGGCAAGCTGTATTTAAAAAAAAACAAAAAAAAAACCCTGGAAATGGTTTTTCTCTTTTTTTATTTTCGTTATTGGGGATTAAACCTAGTGTCTTACATGTGCTAGGCAAGTACTTTACCAGTGAGGTACATTCCCAGTCCACATATAATGGGAAAGTTGGCTTTGTTTTGTTTGTTTATTGATTTGTTTTTGGATAGGGTTTCACTAGGTTGCCCAGGTTGGCCTCAAACTCTCCTGCATCAGCCTCCAGAGTAGCTGGCGTTACAGATATGTGCCATGGCATCCAGCTTGAAATAATGGTTTAAAACTCCTTAAGAAAAAGCACCATCTTGTCTCGTTCTAGTACCTAGCATATTGCCTTGGCACATGGTAAGTGATCAGAAATTGTCTGTTAAATGAACAAATGATTTTGATTACATCACTTTTTGGTTCTGTCCACTTCTATGGAGATATGGAAGGATACTCCTTTTGTTTAACAATGTAATCACACTCAAAGATTGATGTAAGTATCCAGTTCAGGTTAACAGACCACCAATATGGCCTCCAAAACACTGATAGATTATTTTCACAACTTTAAGGACAGCCCTGAGAATAGATTTATTTTTTTTAGCAAACATTTTAGTAACATTTAAAGTTGTAAGACACATCAAATAAACAACCTGTTTCCATTTTCATTATTCGTAGTAAGTGTTCTCTATGAGAAAATTAGTATTATGGTTTTGTAACTATGTAGATAGAATAGGAATATAAGAGAAGTTTATTTAAAAAATTTTAAAGAAATTTTACTTTAAAGTTTCCTGTAACTTTTTAAAGATCAACCTATTGAACTCTAGACAAACAGAAATAATAATGATTTTATGCATTTATTGTAATAGAAGAGCTTCAGAAATAAAATCTGTATATAATAATATAGTCAAGGGAATACTTACACTCTCACTCTGAAAAGGATTTAAGAAATTTCCCCCCATTTCACCATCATCCCTTGGAGTGCCCGGTTGATTACTCAGGCTCATATTATTGGGAGAATTCTGTAAACAAGATTTAGAAAACAAGGCATTGTTGAAGATTTTAATTTCCCTCTTGCATTGTACTGTTTCAAAAACTGAATCTACAGCAGCATCTCTAAGGACAAAGCAGACTTATAATTTTAATCTTAGACTTCTACCACGTATTCTAGTTCATTCTTTGTACCTTGGCAAGTACTAATACTCTCCCAAATGAAAATTTAAAAACAAACCAAAAAAATACCCCAAATAACCTACAATAGCTATTTTCTTAGCCTTAGAATCAATATTTATTCAACTTCCCATCCTCAGTTTATAGAGCTCCTAGAACTCCGCAGAGTTTAAAAAAATTTCCCAACAGGGGCACAGTGAAAACAGAACCCTCACAGATAAGCATGATGGAATGACAATTCCCTAAGCAATTTCATTAATCAAACTTTGAAAGGTTACTGCTGTAATAAACACATCCCTTTAATTCTATATGCAGTTTATAGATACTATTCAACTCTTTGTTATACAAACCATAAGGAAGCAAGGAAGATAGTTAAGAACAGTAGTTAAAAACAAGAAATATCGTAAGACTTGAGAATTAATTGTGTGTCTTCAGAGAAAAAGAAGGCTGAAAAGTAAATTGCTTTAGAGTTTTTTTTTCCTCTTACTAGTTTAAAAGTAGATTTACTTTGAAACTTCCTTCTAAGATAAAATGGCTGCTATTAGCAATCTAATCAAACATGAAGTTAGCAGTGCACTGCTTCATATTCTATTTAAATTTGTTAGTGTTGTTATTATTATGTAATTTGAGCTACGCAGGAATATCTGATACTCCACATCAATGGGAAATACAGAATGGCAACGGCATATAAATCATGTTTATTTGTTATTACAACTATGACCCACGGGACTCTTTCCAAGGTGCAATTTATTAACTTATTAAAAAAAACTTCAGTGTTAAACATTTTCATTGCTATTTCAAATGAAAAAACAATTTTAGATTTTTTTCCTTAGGCCACTGCCATTATATATTCTGTTTTGGAATAAGTTTTTATATTTTTTAAAGAAAATTGCTCAGAGGATTTGATTTAACTAAAACAAGGTATATTGCAAACATTAAAATTTCATGAATGAGTTATTCCCAGAAGAACAAGTGCTTTTTAAGAATATGGTTAAACTGTAAAGCAGAGGCAGGTAGATGAGCTGGTGGAAACACAACTTGTATCTTGTCTTGCTGTGCACCCCACAGGGAGGATCTGAGAACAAGGATCCTCTGAAGTCCATAGGAGTTCTATATACCAACGAACCCCAAGGGCTTGGCAACCATACTTTCATAGCATAAAAAAGTTCTATTTTTGTTTTTTGACAATTTTTTTCTGAAAATGTTACTTATACAAGCATATATAAAGTTAACTGTACTTTGAAATCAATGTGGGTAATTTAAAAAATTTAAGTAAAATTTAACTAAGTATATTACTTTAGAATCCATTAGTTATTAATCAAATAGTACATTTACTTTGAAAACAGAAATATGTTGACTTAGCTCAAAAAGGAAACTAGACTCATATAAGTATTGTAAGATTTACCCCAAATCTATCTTTTTTGGCAAACACATAGATTTCTGTCATTTTTTGAGAATTACAATTTGTTATATATGACAACAGAATGCATTACAATTCATATTACACACATAGAGCACAATTTCTCATATCTCTGGCTGTACACAAAGTAGAGTCATATCCTTCGTGTCTTCATACATGTACCATAGTTCAGTTGATAGATTTCTGTCATTTTGTACATAATAGAGAAATTGCTAATATTAGAATAAAAATAATCTAACAAACATATGAGAAAATTTAAGGATGCACCTGGAAGTTGTATACTTATACACATTGTCAAATAAATGTATAAAATGAGCAGTCTCAAGTCTTGTGTGACATCAGACTTCCAGCAGCACATTAGGTGATCTAAGGGGATCAGTGCAACCCTGATCAGTTGGGGTGCTTCAGGTCTCTGCTGTCTTTTTGCCACACATCATTTCTTCATTTATAATTTGAAATTTAGCTAACTGCAATTATGATTCCTGAGTCAAAGTGCTGATTTTTAAATATTTAGAATTTGAAAGTAATATTACATTTTTAATAGTTAAATACTTCCAAAATACTTCCAGGGTTACTACTCCTGTTTTCCAGGCTCTCTTCAGATGACTCAGACTTACACTCTTTTATTTTGGAAAGGGGAGAGGGATGATACATAAGGATGTTGAGAGGAAGAATGAAAGGGCCTATAAAACTAAGGTAATATAATTTCTGAAATGTATTCCTATTCAGCCCATTGGACCATATTTGAAAAACATTGAAGAAATAAGGACAAAATATTTTGTTTTGTTTTGTTTTGACCTGAAGTGATCTTTGCAAAATGTTGTGAAAGCAACAAAAGCTTCTCAATGGGGAGTCTTAAGAAAACTGTGCTGTCCATGATCACTGAGTAACCTGATGAAGAGAGAGGCTCAAGAGCACACTCACAATTGGCATCTGAGGAAGAGTTAAGACAGTGGTACTGAAACCCAGCCCAAGACTGGTGGTAATAAACTGTGTGCCCACGTCATCTAACTGTGGCCGTATTTGTGTCTCCAGTGGAGTTCATAATCAAGGTAAGGATGTCATGCACAAAAGGAATTAGGTTGGTCAGGAAGGCAGTACAATCACTTGATAATATAATTAGAGAATATGGAACACAAAAGAATACAGGTAAAGATTACTTTTAACTACAATATTCGCATTAATTAAATTTCTTACTTCAGTTGATGTGTACTTTATTTTGTACTCATAGTCTTGAATTTAGCTTGAGAAAATATAGTTAGGATTTACTGATTCCATCTTCAAAAAATTTTATCACATTCTCATTTACCCTTTCTTTACTCTGGAGCTTTTCTCTTACATAAGCTATGATGTCATATAGAAATGTATATATGTGCATGATTTGCATAAGTAATATACCACACACACATTTTGGCTACCATTTTATCTTAGACTTTCTGATCTCTAAATTTACCTTGCAGTGTTTTTTCATATCCTTTTTAAATAAGTTATTGTCCCTTCTTCCATCCTCAAAAATTGTTCTAAACCCTTTCAAACTCTTTAAAACTTTTTTTTTCAAGTCAAATGTAGATTTTTACAGAAACTTTGGCTATGTCTTTAATTAGAATAAAATAATATTGACATTAAGGTCTTGGGAAGTCGATTTTCAATTGATTTCTCACAGGTCAATAATGAGCTTTCAGAGTGTTGTTTTGACTCTGCTAGCCCCTCAAAGGACAAACAACCTGTTTTCCCAGTGGGTACAACTGAGCTAGAACTGGGGCCAGCACCCCATAGATGATGCTGAAAATCCTTCATCCAAGCCCATGTTCTCATGTGTTCTCTCTAAATCAAACTAAGGTTCTTGAGGTCAGAAAACTACAGGTTCAAAAGACTACTTTAAACATTTATTAAACATGATATGATCAGATCTTTCCTTTTCATAGAATTTTTTTTCTTTAAACTCAAAAATATAAATGTGAAGTAGCTTAATGTGAGCCACAGATCTGTAGATGCTTTCCTTCTAAGAAAACAAATCACATGCTTATCTCCACCCCAATCCCTAAAACATCACCAAAGGAACATACTTTCCTTCAATTGATTAAATGGATGATTTTTCAGTTGCAGAAGGGATCAAAGGAGTTTCACATTTCATTTTAAAAAGACTTCTAAATTTAAAACTAATTCTGCATTTCTGAGAAATATTTATATGGATTTTGTAGGAAATATTCAACTGAGAAATAATTTGAAACTCTTCATGTAAAGCTTTGAATTCATTCTGACACTGAAACAGTGTTGTCAACCTGCAATTGACAGTGACTGTTTCTAGCCTTTCCCAAAAAGCAATGTATTAACTATTAAGAAGAAAGATATTTCATGTCCATATACTTCATAGCCCTTAGCATATGTTCACACTTGATCCTTGACAATTTTATGATACACTTAGGGAATTAACTATAAACTTTATTTTATAGGTAAGGAAACTAAACTGGGAGAGATTAAGTAACACAGTCCCACCACATGGAAGTAGTAGAGCCAGTTTTTATTTGGTACTTTTAATTTATCTCACATATAAAACAGATAAAATAGAACATATACAATTTAAAAACTAGAAAAAAACGAACTAAAGTAATAATACAAGCAATGTTTTAAAAGGAAGTAAGAGTTTTTTTAAAAATCAATACTGGTGCTTCACAAAATGCCGATTTAACTGGAGAATTAACTGAGAGGAATTTTGAACAAAATTACTAGGCATTAATAATTGAGATTATCTTCTGAGTCACAAGTAATAGAGACTAGGAAAAGAATAGGGTGTAAATCAATGAAACCAGGAAAAAAGGAAAGGAAAGAGAAAGCTTCTTAGCATAGATGTATATGTGTTAGAAAAAAAAGAAAGATGGGCAAAGTGGAGTTAATGATTGTTCATACTTCATAGTAAAAGACTGAAAAAAATTAGGCTGTGAGTGGACAGAAGTAGAGATAAAAATGATTGGCAGTGGGGAGTATACAGTATGCATGATGCTGCTCCTGAGACAAAAGTGACTAGAGTGCCACAGACACTTGTGGTACTATTACCCTGAGACAGCCAGCTCAGTGCCCATAGCCAGTGAACCTAGAGTAAGGGCAGTGCAGAAATGAGTTGCTCAGGAATTCATTTGAAGGCAGATGCAAATAACTAGTCATTTCCAGAATATTCATAAGTGACATATTTTCTGTTTGACGGGAAATTCTAATGTTAAGTACGTATGAACTCCACTTGGTAAAAGTTTTTCCCAATCCTATTTGATCGCTCCAGTTACACTGAGCTTCTTGAGAGCAGAGACCATATCTTGGTTAGCTTTGGATTTTTATAGCCCAGCAGAATGCCTTGGTGCTTTAACATTTATTGAATGAAAGAACTCTTGCCTAAGTATAAACCACTTGAGGACAGAAACCATGTTTGTGTTTGAAGAAGACTTTTATGTCTATGTCTCCCCAGAGTGCACAAGGCAACACCAGTACAGAAAAGTACATAATGGAGGGCCAATCAGTGATGGGAGTATAAACAATATATCATTAGACAAGGGAATCTTAATCGCAATGGGCACAATATAGTGGAAAAACCTTGTATCTAGGAATAGGAATGGCAAAATAAGCACAGAAGGGGTGGTAATAGATCTGACATATGAGGGCAGATTAAATAGCATTTAATTCATCATTATGATGTTATGTAAAATTTTAAAGTGCTTTATAAATTATAAAGTACTTTCCATATAGAATTTTATTTATATTTACCTAATGTAAAAGTGTAGGGTTGTTAGTGGAAATTTTAGGAATATGACCCATAGCAATCTGGGTGATGCTAATTTTGTATAATTAAGAGTATCTCTAGGGGCTGGGGATGTGGCTCAAGCGGTAGTGCACTCGCTTGGCATGCGTGTGGCCTGGGATCGATCCTCAGCACCACATACAAAGAAAGATGTTGTGTCCGCCGAAAACTAAAAAAATAAATATTAAAAATTCTCTTGCTCTCTCTCTCTCTCTCTAGATAATTGCTTCTTAAATATGACATTAGAAATTTCACCATAAAGAAAACAATTCAGCTAACTCAGTGGTTAGAATTACCTGAGATAGCCTAATATGCTTATGGTCACTTCACTTGCAAAGGCGCCTCGCAGAAAGAAGGCACTAATAAAATTATACAGGGAATCTTATTTGAAAACAGGCTTTATGAATACTATTTCCCACAGAGATAAGCTAGTATACATTTCAAATATTTATCTATTTTTTTAAAGACCTTTTGGATTGTTCCTAAACACAGACACCCATTGTGCTTATAGAGCTTGTGAGGCCAAGTAGCCAAATAGTACAGGTACAATGTCAAGATTACAATTTAAAATATTTTTGAGGATGAAGTCTTAATTCAAAATGTTTTGTAGATCAATCTTATTTTATGTTCCTTGGCACTGGAAATTTTATATTAATACACATGAATATAAATTAGGAATAGAATTAAAAGCAAAGTCACCCTTTAATGAATTTTTCTATTTACTGATAAAAGCAGACTTCTAAGCAAGTCATTCTAGTTCTAGCAATAATTAGTTCTTATCAAGCATTCTAAATATATTTGACTCAGAGAGCTATTTTAAATTCATCATGACCTAAAAAGTATTTAGGCATTATTATTCAAAAAAAATTAAGGCATTTTAGTAAAGGATTAATTTAGATCCTCAGACTATTGAAGGAAGAAAAATGCAGACACATACACTTTCCTACTTGTAGTAATACAATTTTCCTCTAATTACTTTCTTATTCTATTTGGGGGACAAAAATAATGATTGCATATATCAACATTGCCCAATGAGGGTTTGAAAAAGCAACTGAGTGTACAAAGGCAATGGCCTTCTAACATGTATAGCCACCTTTTCAAGTATTTTGAATTGATTTCTCACAGGCCAATAATGAGCTTTCAGAGTATTGTTTTGACTCTGCTAGCCCCCAAAAGGACAAACATATTGCTTTAAACACCTTTACATCATCAAAATATTATCTAAACACTGTCAGTTTACTTTATAAATAAGTAACATCATATTGTGATTAAATTGGTTATTACTGAGTGTAAGTTAATCCTGTATAATATGCCTTATATATGAATCTTAGTCGTTTTAGAAACATGTCTAAAAGACTCATTTTACCTCTTCCCACAAATTATATAAATTCATATTTTTAACTGCCAATTAATCACACCTGGGACTTCTATTTTTAAACTTTTGTTTAGGAACAAAATTCAGTTACTCTAATAATCTTTGACTTCTATGGGGAATAAAATTCAGATAAAAACAACACAGAATGCATAGTACTCACCTTGGAAATACTGTCCATATCTCCTGAGCCTGAAGAAAAATATAAAAAGAAAGTATTATTATGTAAGAGATCATTTATAAATTAAACACTACTATAAGGTGTATCAGCAATATGATGACAAATATAAGAAACTCTACCTCTAGTTCCCTATCATCTATATCTTTATTGCAGAATAAATAAAATCCCTATCATAGATTCCTGAAAATACAACACTAGAGAGATCATTTATGTATCTTATTCATATTGGGCACAGCGGCACACACCTGCAATCCCAGCTACTTAGGAGGTTGAGACAGAAGAATATAAGTTTGAGGCTAGTCTGGGCAATTTAGTGAGACCCTGTCTCAAAATCAAAATAATTTTTAACAAAGAGGGGGAATGATGTACTTGCCTAGTATGTGTGAGGCCCTGGTTTTGTTCTCTGGCAATGTAAAAAAAATTTTTTTAAATAAATAGAATTTTTTTAAACTAAATATGTATATATGTATATATGATTTTTACCTAGTTTAAAACTTTTTAAAAAATACATTATATATGTGTGTATGCACACACACACCTCTATATATGTTTTCTGAAACAAAATTGTTTTTGAACCATATTTTATTACAATAACAAAAAAGTATTCCTAATAAATGTTTTAAAATTGACAGCAATCAACACTCACGGTCAAAACTTAAAATATTGTATTTGAAAATATATTAGTGCATTTTAATTTTGATTCTGAGAGAAATGAATAATAATATTGATTCTTACATAAGAAATGGAATCACTCATTAAGTAACAAACAACAATTAGATCTTTGCCAAAATTTAGTTTTATTCTGAACTATTTTATTTTCATGGAATAAAAATATTATAACATTTTAATAGTATGGCATTTAATCAGCTTCACAAGTAGAGCTTAACATTATTGTAAATAAACAGGCATAACAAATTGCTACATATTTTATATTGAATACATGCAATCATATATATATGCAAATATGTAAAATAGTGTTCATTATAGAAAGTAATGAACCAGTTGCCAAGTATATATAAAACTCTTTTGAAAATTTTATTCCAGCGAATAGTATAACTGAGTATTCTATGACCAAGTGTCATTTTTTTTTGTGACTAGTTCTACAAGTAAAAAGATTGAAAAGTGAATTGTTTTGAAATAAATTGGAAAACAAAATTCTGGAATAGCATTGTCTAGCTGGGTATGGTGGTATGCACCTTTAATCCCAGGCTCTTGGGAGACTGAGGCAGGAGGACTGCAAGTTGGAGGCCAGCCTAGCTACAACTTGCCGACATCTTGTCTCAAAATAAAAATAAAAAGAGAGGGCTGGAGATGTACTTAGGTGGTAGAGTATCCATGGGCCCAATCCAGGGTGGGGGGTGTAAATAATGCTGTCCAACAGAACTTGGTGTGATGATGAAAACATTTCTGTGTGACATCCATTATGGAAGCCATTAGCTATTACTGTGTCTGTTGTGCACATTGTATGTGGCAGTGTAACTGAATGAATGAATTTTAAATTTTATTTAACTTCATATTAAATAGTCACACATAGTTAGTAGCTACTGAAATTACATAGTGCATGTTAAAAATAATAATAGAACAAAGTGTGACTTTGGAATCGAGGCAAAATTAGCATGAATCCTATCAACTTGTTGCAATTTGCAAATAATTTCTGAAGTTACATAGTCTTTCAAGTATCACAGGAAAGCATTTCCTAACCTTGGGGTGAGGGAGTAAAATCTGTAGCTAGCTTAAATGGCTCAAAGGTATAGTTTGTCCAGTTTAAATAAAAGACCCCCCCCCCCTTTTGTGGTGTTGGAGATTGAAACCAGGGCCTTGTGCATACAAAGCAAGCACTCTACCGACTGAGCTATATCCCAACTCATAAAAGACCCTTTCTAAAAGAAAAAAAAATTATTACAGTCTCTAACTTCCAATGTCGACTTTTAAATTAGTCTATGATTATGTCACTTAAATATAGACAGACATAAGATACATTTTTCTTTTGGTTTTGTATTTGTCTTGCCTACAATTATAATGTGTTGTGCAATCTAGTCAACTTTGTACCATTCATCTCTACTTCTCACTATGTAAAAATTTTTATTCACCTTGTGGATATTTGGCTTCATTTGGTAAGAAGGCATCATATATGAAGCATGTTTTCATCTTTCAGTTACATACTTGAAATTAGCTTTGTAATGAAGACAACGTAAGCAGTGTTGTCTTACAAGGGAACCATTCAGATTATCCGGAATGTGATTACCAATTTTATTTTTAAAGGGAGACAAACATAAAATATAAAAACAAAATTAAGAAATTCTTGCAGAGAACTGAAATTCTTCTGAGACTGTGTCCACAGACTACTGGAGAGAAAGAAACCAGTTGGGAGGACAATGTAGTCCTCTGAGTGAGGCATGCATGATAAATGCTCAAAGCAGCAATATTTCCTTTGTCATAAACCACTTAGATTTTCACAGATTAAAGTAAATGTCTAAGAATATGAGCAAGGGAAGAGCAACTCTTACATTTCTTGTTTTCAAGTGATTTCGAGTTATCAAAACCAATATATTGTAGATTGAAGTATCATTCTGAGGTAAAAGTTGAAGTATCTCAAAATAAGTATCTGGACAGAAAATTTTTGCAAACCATAGAATCCACTACATAGAATTAAGGTTTTGTTTTGAATTTATTCTATACTTATAAAATCCTTACCTAAAGAGCCATTCATGTGATGTGACTCCATTCCTCCTAATCCACCCATGGGACCATCTGACCCAGGACCCATTGGAAACTATATTAAAAATGAAGAAAATGATTGTGATCATATTGAAACAAATTTTATCTTAGTGTTACAACATCTACCTTTAACATTACAAGGCATTGCCACAATTTATTTTCATTTTTAAGTTATAGAGAGTTTTTTTAAGTTATAGAGAGTTTTATAGAGAGTTTTGCTTGATTTTTTTTTTCAGTCTTATAGATTCTCTCATTGAACTGTCCCAATCCTCTCAGTTCACCTTCTCTATGCTCTGGATGTTCAGGCTAACGTTCATTTAAATTCAAAATTTTCTTTTTAGATATCCCCAACTAGACAGCCATGCAAATGATAAGTATTCTCTCCTATGATCCCGACAAACTTTCTATTATAAACCAAAGATAGTTCTTAAGAAGCTGTTAAATGTATTGGCTTATTAAGAAGAATAAGTCAACATCATTATGACAACATTAACATTTTTTTCTTAGAAGTCCATTTGTTCAAATGGACATAATAAATAATTTCATTTTACAGGTTAAATACATTTAGTTCCTGAGGGATAGCTGAACATAGCTAATGCTTGGCAGTCTCAACTTGACAGTCACATATTCTTTTTTTTTTTAATTTTTTATTGTTGGTTGTTCAAAACATTACACAGTTCTTGATATATCATATTTCACACTTTGATTCAAGTGGGTTATGAGCTCCCATTTTTACCCCATATACAGATTTCAGAATCACATCAGTTACACATCCATTGATTTACATATTGCCATACTAGTGTCTGTTGTGTTCTGCTGCCTTTCCTATCCTCTACTATCCCCCCTCCCCTCCCCTCTTCTCTCTCTGCCCCCTCTACTGACATTCATTTGTCCCCCTTGTATTATTTTTCCCTTTCCCCTCACTTCCTCTTGTATGTACTTTTGTATAACTCTGAGGGTCTCCTTCCATTTCCATGCATTTTCCCTTCTCTCTCCCTTTCCCTCCCACCTCTCATCCCTGTTTAATGTTAATCTTCTTCTCATGCTCTTCGACCCTACTCTGTTCTTAGTTACTCTCCTTATATCAAAGAAGACATTTGGCATTTGTTTTTTAGGGATTGGCTAGCTTCACTTAGCATAATCTGCTCTAATGCCATCCATTTCCCTGTAAATTCTATGATTTTGTCATTTTTTTAATGCAGAGTAATACTCCATTGTGTATAAATGCCACATTTTTTTTTATCCATTCATCTATTGAAGGGCATCTAGGTTGGTTCCACAGTCTTGCTATTGTGAATTGTGCTGCTATGAACATCGATGTAGCAGTGTCCCTGTAGTATGCTCTTTTTAGGTCTTTAGGGAATAGACCGAGAAGGGGAATAGCTGGGTCAAATGGTGGCTCCATTCCCAGCTTTCCAAGAAATCTCCATACTGCTTTCCAAATTGGCTGCACCAATCTGCAGTCCCACCAGCAATGTACAAGTGTACCCTTTTCCCCACATCCTCGCCAGCACTTGTTGTTGTTTGACTTCATAATGGCTGCCAATCTTACTGGAGTGAGATGGTATCTTAGGGTGTTTTTGATTTGCATTTCTCTGGACAGTCACATATTCTATAGCAGTTCTAGCTAACATATTTTAAAGCAGTGGAATTCTCCTTTCCAAGTAACATCTTAAATATTAGAAGTCTGGTATAAAACAGTTGTGAAAAGATGTGCTATAGTAGAGTTGGTAATGGAAAGTCAATGGCTTGCCCACTGTCTTCCTCTCATCTCCCTAGAATACTTCTGAGGAAACTTAGAGTCCAGTTTGAAGCCAAGTTATCTTATGCTTAGAGCTAAGACAATCTGCTGAAAATATTTTTTTTCTTCAAAGTTCCCATGACTAAAGCAATCCTTCTATGGTATATGCTGCAGAATACTGAATGTGGAGTGTGTTCATGTGTATATGGAAGGGGCAGTGGTAGTTACCAATCATAAAGGTTTTTGGAGGAAAAAAAAATTCAGTACATAAACCCCAATACTACCATGACTGTGTGGAAATATGGGGGATTTTTACCACTGTGAGCACACAAACCACATGATTTCAAGTTTTCCCAGGAGAAGAATAATTTTGCTACCTAAAATTAATTATCTAAAAGCTCATTGAAATTTTAGTAAAATGACATGTAATATATATACTCACTGATAAGTCAAGGATTGACTTTGAACTTAATGTTATTATTCAGCTTTTATTAAAAGCATAGTTTAGATCTGAACTGAGCAACTAGAGCCAGAAAACTCATTAGCCTGTGAATTTATTAGGTTTGGTCTTTTTATCTGGCCCCCACAGTGTTTTAAAAGACAAAAACACATAAATACATGTTTGGTAGTTTAACACAAAACAAATGTACTTCTTATTTTTCTCCAGTTTCAGCTACATGCTATATATTTATATATACGTGTATGTGTTGTATAATGTTTTATGCATAGTCTTAGCTATATTGTTATATACATTGTTATATGTTATAATAAATATTAGTTTAATTTATTTAATTATATGTTATCATTACATTTATTTATTTAGATTATATTTACAACTATAATCTGTTGTAAATTTTTTGTTAACATGTAGGCCTGATATCATGGATAAATATTTTCCTATGCACTTTTTACAGGAAAGATCACGACCATATTCTTCTTGTAAAACTGTCTCAGTTTCATATTTAAACCCTAGATTTCATAATATAAAGAAAAATGTGCATATGCAAATTCCTAATTTACTTTCAAGTTCAGGAGGATTAGAAAAATCACAATGAAAAAATTAAATAGTGCTAAAAATGATATAAACATAAATGATTATACACAACTTGTCATTTTAAATAGTATTAATCATTCAGTATTTCAGATAAATTGAGAGGTCAGCATTTATAGTTAGGTTCACTTTTATATTTATATAAGAACCTATGCATTCGATGCTGTTTTTTCTTCAATCTAGAGTCTAGAAAGAATTTTTCTGATATCCAGTAGTCTCTTGGATAATAAAATACAAAGTTTAAACAATACTCAGGAAATAGAATGTATTGAGTTTGAAAGTCTTAAAATATATCCCCCCAAGGAAAAAATCATATTTACATTAGGTCTGTTAGGTCCAGGAGGTACTGCATTCATTAAAGTATACATGTTGTCTCCAGAATTAGTTGAATCTGAAACAAAATATTACTTAATTGATATCTTACTTTATAATCTATACAAAAGCCATCACAAAACAACAAAGATGAACTGGATATACGTAGGTATTGAGAGCTGTGACACCTGAGATAGCTATTACTACTATTTGGAAACAAGTATCTGGGAGTCTGACCCCAAAACTGTCATTCTACCTATGATGGTATGATAGGTATATGATAACAGAAATAGTCACTTTAGTAATTCAGGTCAAAGAATTATTACTTCAACAATCTAAAAGGTTACAGTAAAATTTTTTGTTTTTAAAAAACGTGGATATTTTTTGACTTCTCTAAGCAACCACATGTATGCATACAACAAAAATCTCTTAAAATTCACATTTATTATCTTTTCAACTTTCATTATTTCCTTAGGTTACTATCTAAAAATTCTAAAGATAAATCATTTTAGCTATTAATTAGTAAAAGCAGGTAGAATATCCTGGCTTAATTTAAAAAGAAAGAGATTAGAACGAGATTATGTAATTGGAATAATAAACTCTCTTGTTTAAAGTAAAAGCCAGATTCCTCCACCCAACAGTTTTTTTAAATAAAATTCTTCTTGCTCATTTTTTTCTTGATTCATTATTATAAAATAAGTGTAGTATATAACCCATACAAATCTGTAACATTTTAGAGTGTTTAAAAAAATTTACATGTCTCTTAGTTAATTCCTACAATTAAAATAGATTCTACATAGATTACTACATAGTCCCTCAGGCTGACCCCTACCTCTTTATACTAAGTGAGGTCTCAATCTATTTTTGTGGCTTTAATGATTTTCATGTTGTTATATACCTAGGCTATTGGTTCTTTCCTGCTTATGACCAAATTTTCCCATCTTTGAATTTTTGTTTTCTTTTCCTCCAAGCATCTTTTCCCAAGTTCCCACCTACTGAAATTCAAGACTTATTTCAAATGTTACCTAGTCCATGAAGTATTTTTTTTCCTGATATTTCCAAGTAAATAAGGGTTCCCCCACCAAGAAATTCTGCCTTGAATAACAGTCTACATATTGTCTTATTTTTGTCTTCTACTTTCACTTAGGCTATAATAATCTCATTGAGATCACATGCCTCAGAAAATAAATATTGGCTAACTTGGATTTAACAAATGGAATAAACTCTATGACATGCAAAGTTCTCTTTCAGAAATCTTAGATTATCTTTTAAATACATACAACTTTCAAATGGGTTTTCAACTGAATTATTGTTAGTCTTGGTGAAAGGAAAAATGAGCTATATATTTTAACTATGCAGAAAGGACATGAATTTATCATTTTTAAGACCAATAGAGAATATAATTTCACCTGATAAAGAATATAGAGAAATAGGGTGTCCTTTTCTAGAAATTGTCTGACTTTTTTAATTAATAGAAGAAATTTACAGTAAAGTGAATTTTTGGCACCTATTTTGGGGGCCAAGGGGTGTTGATTTAATATTAGAGGAGTGATTGTGATAAAGAATGAATATATAATGAGTATAAAAGAATGCCTGGAAGATATGCTGGTTGCAATTTCTAACTTGAAAGTTAGAAGTGGTAAAATTACTTATCACTTGCAATGCTTAGAGTTGCTCCAATTTTCTTTAGTCTTGTAGATAAAGTGTTTCTTAATCACATGTTCCCTTCATAAATTAAACATTGACTCCATGATACAAGAATGTAAATGTAGGGGAGATGACCTGTCCATATAATTCTATCTTCAATGAATTTTATTAATAGTGAATATGCTTTGAGGATAGAGAGTATAAAATATTTACGAGTACAGTATAAAGAGTTAGTGAAGTAAAGTAAAATTTTGTATTGTCAAACTGGTTTTATTGAAATTTGAAAGTTAAAAATTTAAAAACTTATTTTTGAGGATCATTAATGACATGAATTTTAAGTTTCTATATATCTCAAACTTCAACAAACCAGTTAAAATATGAATTCAACAATGAAACAATTAAAAATTATTTCTAGTTATAAAAATTTCCTATTTTATTACCTAGAAGTAATTCCAACAATTTCTTTTCCCCTACTTTTTAGATTTTTGATATATATAACATATATATATATATGTATATGCATTTATATGTATACTTATGATCATATTGTGTTGAATCATGAGCATTTATTTTCTCATTAAAAATTCTTTGAAAATAACTTTAATGAAATTTTAATTATATTCCATCATGTTATACAAATTAATTCAATAACTTCACTAAAAGTGGATTAAGAGTGAAAATTATGTTGACTATTTCACTATTGACTATGACAAATGAACATCCTTGTGCATAAATCTTGGATTGTATCTTTAATCATTTCTAGTGTTGGGATTATAGTCAAATGGTATGAACTTTTTCACTGCTTTTGATATATGTTACCAGAGTATTTTTTAAAACTATACTCATTTAAACTCCAACCAGTAGAGTCTCCAAATACATCTAATAGTCTGTATTACAGTCACAAGAAAAAAGGGTAAAGCTATTTGAAATAACTATGTAAAATGCATATGGGTATATTGAAGTAACATTTCAATTTAGAAGATTCAAAAAACTTTTCCCACTCTAGTAAATTTACTAATAAATAAATTTCTATAAATAGGGTAATTAAAACTGTGAGCACATGTATATTCATCTTAGCAAGATGACAGATGTGGTGGCTCTGATTTGTTATTTTAAATCTAATAGATCTGTTTCATTAATATTATACAGATTTTTTTCTAAGATATGAGCTATGGATCTTTTTCTCATTTTCAAAGAATCATTAAGCTTGATAAATTATTGGGCAATTCATACCAATGAACAGTTTTCATGCTAAATCAGTTACCCACACAACAAAAATGTTCTGAAGTTGATGTAACTTAACAGTATAGTTATTTTACAACTCTGTTTCTTCCTACTTGCTACCTCTACTCTACTTCTTTAACCATGAGATAATGACTACTACTAACTTTATTTCATAAAACAATTTTTTGAATAAACAATTTTCTAAATTTTGTGATTTTATTCTAGTAATCAAAAGCCCATGTGGCTAGTTTAATTACAATACCTGCTGGACTAGGCATGATGGGTGTTCCTGGTGGCCCTCCACCTCCTGGAGGACCCTAAATTATACAAAATTTCAGTAAAAATAAGGCATTTAATTAAACAATGTAAGGAAAACAAAGATTTATCTCTATAATAATCCAATTTGAAAATAACAGAGGAAATATATTTCTTCATAATTTATTTTCTTTGAATGCACCATCATTTCAATATTATGCAAAACACAATTTAGCTTAACTATGTTGAGATTGTTTTGACAAGTTTCCAAAAACAATGAGCCTGTAGCACTGATTTATTATTCATGACTTAATCACGTCAGGTATAATGAGGTTAAGGAGAAACCACTTAACGGTGCTTTTACAAATCCATAAAATAGAAATAATTCATGTGCACTTGTGATTTAGTTTACTGTAATTTTCTTACATTTTCTATCACTGTTCTTTAAAATAGGAAGCAAAAAAGATATTCACTTAAGAGAATATCTTTAAAAACCAAAGAAACTCAGATACATTCTGCTATTTCTTTTTTCAGCATCAACTGCAACAGTTCTGGAGTAGAATACATTCAGTTATCAATAACATCAATTAGAAATGAGATACAATGCTGCCTAATGCTGTGGGTTATTAAGACTACAGCTACACACTCATACTGAAGTAGAGATTAGGATGTTCTGAAGTTAATTCAGGCAATCAAAATGGATAATTCAGACAATGGGTTTCAGAATTTTTCAGATGTCCCATGTTACATTAACTCTTACATGACTAAATTTTCATTTCATTCTTAGTGTGTAGATATAGCCTACCAATTATTTCAAATAATAAATGTATTTGGTATTTAATAAACAACTTAAATTTCCCTTCAAATAAATCTATATTATCACTAAACTCTGTATGAGGCTTATTAAATGATTTTTAAAATAGTTTTACCCCAATTTTCTTACTTACGATTTGTTTCATACAAAATGTGAAGGAAATTAAACTTCCTTAGTTTATATAGCTTGTAGGAACATTAAGCACTAAGTTCACAGGTCCAATGCAGTGTGCACTTTTCACTATGTTAATAAACACTATTTCTAAGGCAGGTACAATGCTCGTTGATTTTCTTCTCATGTACTCCTTTAATTTCCATTCCAGTTGACACCAACCTCTGAACATTTCCTTAGGAAAATTTCCTTTTTTATCATTTTATTCTTTCTTCTCTATTAGGCATTTCCCCCTAAATTATAACAAATTATCCTTTATGGTGGCCTTGAGATGTATCAAGAATCAAATTTGATTATGGTTAAAAAGTCATTTGTGAGTTCAAGAGTTTATATAAAACCTGCAATTTTAACTTCAGGACTATATGAATTACTAGAAAAAATTTTACCGTGTATTAAAAAACAATGAGAAAAGTTGGTGTTTTCAGTTTTTAAGAATAACAAAAAATAGAAGATATTTGCAAACTACTAGGCATTATTCTGCTGTCTAATTCACTTTGTGATTGGGAGAAAGTTTAACATCTTCTTAGATGTTAAACTTTATGTGTGGTGAGTGGGTTGGGGAGGGGGCGTACATTATTCTCCTGGAGAACTGCAAATTCAAGCATATCATTGTTTAACTGAGGATGGCTCTCTTTGTGATTGGACAGAGAGCATTGTACTGGTTTCCAGAAACATATGCTGAAGTAAAACACAGTACTTAGGGCAATTCTAACCAGATTGATAACTGTTTCACTAATGAACATCAACATATGTACTGAGGTTGGCAGATGAAACAACTCAAGATGTTCACTTCTTGGCCAATACACAGGGGCTCTTCTTAACATCTGGACAACTATTTCATTGCTCAAATAAAACGTAACATCAATTCTTATGAGCAAACAAACCCAAATGTACTTACTACATAATTCCCAGGAGATGCTGAGGAGTATGGTATCTAGAACATGAACAGGACAAAAACAAATATTTTGATTCATGTGGCAACATGGGACTGACCTAAATGAAACAATTTCCTAACTTCTATTAAATTTTAAACTGTATCCTAAAGGACAGTAAAAGATGAAGGAATGTATGTCTGTTTAAGTGTCAGAAATATGAATAACTGCAATACTATCTTCAATTTACAAGAAAAAATGTACATTTTAGTCAGGAGGAATTTACACAGAATTACAGATTCGAGCTATATTGGTTTCAGGTCAGCTGTACACGTTGCTTAATTTAATGATTTATTCTGTAAATAGAAATTACAGAATTTTTTTTCAAATTAGTAGCTTCACAGATATTATTTCTAAGCTATGTGCTTTTAAAAAAGATTGCTCACTGTATTCATGCAGCATGGATCAACATTTGAACTCACCTTTCCCTTTGCCTATACAATTAGCTACTATAACAAATGCAAAAGAACTTATTAATATTCATCTTCAAAATTATTAATTTGTGGGCATCATATATGGGTTATATATTCCCTCTTTCTCTTCAAATCAAGCTCTTCCCCCCACTTTTTTTTTTTTTTTTTGTATGCAGGATTGACCTCAGAGGTGCTTAACCACTGAGCCATATCCTCAGCCCTTTTTTAATAGTTTGTTTGGAGACAGGGTCTTGCGAAGTTGCCGAGGCTGGCTTTGAATTCATGATCCTCCCACCTCAGCCTCCAGAGCCATTGGGATTACAGATGTGTACCAGAATACCTGGCTTAAATCAAGCTCTTAAACAAGCTCTTTTCTAGTGTTTTGAAATTATTAATCCCACATTGCTCTGATAATTTAAGAAATGAAAAAGTAAAAAGTTTACATTTAAAAATAAGGAAAGTTAAATCCAAATATTTTATTTTAAATACAATCTCACTTACTCACTTGCATGAAGACACACTGTATATTCCATGAGATATTTTTGCTTTACTCTGATAAAATTGAATAAATTACTGTTTACCTGGAGTCAGTCAGCCAGCACCAGAATAGAACTTTTAAAGAAGTGAAAAAATTGTGGTACGTGAAACCTAACCTGTCTCTCCATCTCAATACCTGCCACATAATTAAACATAATAATATGAAATCATAAAGTAAGAATAAGGAAGTATAACACTTTTGATTTTTTTCTTGAATAAATCTTTGATGCTTTTTTGGAATTGTTTAATATTAAGTTATATGAAAAGCTTTTCTCCTTGTTTTTTGGTATCCTTATTAAACACAGAGCACATGTCCCTGGGGCTCCTGCTTGTTTCCCTATAGGTATTGAGCATTACAGATAACAATGGCTGGAGTACCCAGAATCACTATTGATAAGTATTACTTGAGCTACTAGTACCTCAGTATTCTATGGCATTTGACATTGACTTAATTGGGTGAATGAATACAATTTTGTTTTCTTCAGCCCTTTTCAGTTCATGGAGTATCACTCATCCTCTGATTTACATTAAACATCTAACCACCTTTGAGATCTTCGGAATTTATAGTTCATTGCCTTCCTTTACAACCCACTGCCCACTTTTTCATTTGTCAGTACTCTGAATGCTTTGTACAGAGATCCAAATAATTTCCTTGCCTAATATATTTCTTATTTCTTATGACATTCACAAATTATATATTCCAACCAGAATATTTCCCTACAATTCCTCCATGTTTACTTAGATATTTCTCTATTATTTTATGACTAAATTACTCTGCCCTTCCCCATGCCACTGTCAACATTTCATTTCTTTCTCCAATACCTTAAATTATCTGAAAGCCTAATATAATAATTCCCATCTCTTTGACTACCCCTTTGCTAAAATTTCTGTTTTATAGTAGAGATTTCCTGGAGGGAAACATAAATTAAGGTTGACAACTTCCACAATATAACCATGTTCTCCAACTTCCACTTCGTCTTCATCATTTGGAAGTATTCTGGCTTACCCTTTATGAAAACCAGAAGCCTGTACACTCATTAAACATTGTACCTGGGTGTGGGATGGGGAGGTGTATGATTCTGATTTGTAGCATTTTCCAATTTCTGTGGCATAATTATTCTGTATGGGAAATTTGAAGTTACCAATTCTTTAACAAGTAGCTCAGGAAATTCCTGAAAACTTAGCAGTTGACTTGTGAGCTGACCCTCATGGTGATTATACCATCCTGAGTGTACTTTGTCCTTCTGGCTTACAGGAAAGTCATCAAGTTCTTGTTATGCCTTCATTTTCAGCCCAATACCCTATTGTTTACAGATTTATATTTTCACCTGTTCTTCAGAAGTAGGAAAAAAAGAAATTTCTTCTTGTTTTCAAAGCTAGCTCCTTCCAACCATTCCATTCTCTCAAGTTCCTGTTCTTTTTGTGTTTTTAAATTTTTCTTTCTCAAGATCCTTCAAATATATATAAAATAAAGACTACCTTAAGCAATGGTTAACTAGACTGAATATAGCTGTAGGAAATAATTCATAGGTTTACAGAGACATGTTCAAATTTATGTTTAAGGAAGATAATTCTAGAGGAACATGAATTCAAATTTGAAGACTGTTGCAAAGGGTTCTGGCAAGAGATGGTAAAAAGAGTTGTAGGTAGTGCTGAATAAGACAAGAAGGAGTAAGAGAATTTGATAATCATTCATTTCACAAATTACTTCACAGGGGTGGTGACAGTGCGACAGACAAAAGAAGCACAAAATTGAGGTAATTCCTGTTTCCAACTTGGTGACAGTGGATGATGATGCTACTCATTTATATATAAGGAACTCAGGAACTAGCAGGCTTAAGGAAATGTCTGATATGTTAAATCTGAAGGTACTAGTAGACATTAAGTTAGAACTGAGCTATAAACACTATAAATATAGGTAAAGATTTATTAGAGATCAAGACTACAGATCTAGCTTCAGTTGAATGAATTTTCATTTTGTGCTGGTCACAATACCTGATTTAGAATTTTACCAGATTTTATGATGGCTAAAACCACATGAGGACTAGGGTTGTAGCTCAGTGGTAGAGCGCTTGCCTAGCATGTATGAGGAGCTGGGTTTGATTCTCAGCACTGAATATAAATAAATAAAATAAAGGTCTGTTGATAACTAAAAATATATATATTAAAAAAAACACATGAAAACATTAAAATGGGGGAAAAACAAGATAAGAAAGCCAGGAATGTAATTAGAAAATTCTACCAATTGAGAAAAGGCAGCAAATGTGATGTGATAAAAATTGGAAGAAAATATTTAAAAAATCAAGCAAGTTAGACTTTTAAGAAGCAGCAAGTAGGTGCAGGTTGACTAGAAAATATCTAAATTGCTGGGTGAAGCTTAAGCCTTTTAGCTTTCTGAGACATAGCTAAAAATAAATAATAAAAGAATACTTTAATAACAATATGGAAAAATAAAGAAACATTAAAATCACAAATGAAAAATGAATAGACATTTAAAACAAAACTAAGCAATCAAATATTTCAGAGATCAGGTATGATGAAGACAGAAAAGAAAGCTTTCTTGTTTGGTTGGTAAATAGTAACCTTCAGAATGGGACTTTCACAGAATTTGAAATGGGTTGAAAAGTTGGTTGGGAAGTCAATTCAATATGCCTTAATTTATCTCCTGTGAGGTTTCAGGCCCTGCACTACTGTGCAATGATCAAAGACGGGAAACCCTAGGAATCCACCCTCCAGGAGATAGTGGCAAAGGAGTCACAGTGTGAGAGAAATGGATGGTTGTTTGGGACTGAAAAGGGCTGACAGGACCTTTCTATCAGCTATCTCCTGCCAATTCCACAGGAGAAGAGGACAAGAGGTTTAAGCTTGTGTAAAGATTTTGCTTACTGGTATTACATTCCAAGAAAATTCCAGTCAAAGGAAATGGATAGGCCAAAGAAAAATTCTTTTGGAGGAGGGAATGGGCAGCATATGCAAAAAAGTAACAAGAGGTAGAATAAAGAGAATAGACAGACGGATGAGTATTGAAAAGAAAGAACATTTCTATTTCCAAGATAAGAACAAAGAAATATGACTAAAGGTGTAATGATATTGCTGGTGAAACTCAGAATCTGAAGAAATTTGAGTCTAATGGTCTTTATTTTTTTCTTTCCTCTGTAAAATATGAGACAATTTTAATTGACAGGGAAGGGGCCAAGATAATGCAGGGGACCCAAAGAGAATAATAAACTACTGTACCAGTCTTTGAGGAAAGCAGAAGTAGCTGACTAAGGAAGAAGAGTAGTTCAAGCATCAGTGAGGACTCAGCTGAGGTTCAGCATTACAGATTTAAAATATACTGTAATGTGTTAGGTATAATTATAGAATTACCTATTAAACATGATGGAAGAACTAAAGAAGCAGTTCTATAAATACTTCAAATATAACATTTTAAAAAATTCCAGAAAGCAAAAACAAAACCTTGTTATCTACCCTCTAAATCTTTTTTCCTACATTCCTAACTCAGTTGTGTTATTACTATTGCCTGGATTCAAAGACTTAAAAACACTTTTAACTTTCTCATTCTCTTTATCCCTAAATCCTCCCTCTGGTACTACCCTATGCTTCATACAAAATGTCCACTAAGATAAAAACAAAGGATAAAAATGAATATGTAGAAGACAGACAAAATCACAGAACTGGAAGGTCAGAATCACAGAATAAGAATCCGTTATTTGACAGATGAGAAAATTAAGGGCTCAGAAAATTGCCTAAGTTAGATAATTCAAGAGTTCTGATAAGAATGCAAATTTGTAAAATATTCTGAATCCTAATACCCACGATTGTGGTGTAGTGGTAGGGGCCAGAGAATTAACTAGAGGGCTTCTTTTTGTTTGTTTTTAAAATTATCAGTAACATTTTAAGTACCTTTCTTTACAGATAAAGTACTTTTCAGATAGCTTACCTTATAGCACTGGTTAACTAGAAATTAGGGAGGGCAACATCAAGACATCAGAACTGGTGGAAAAGTTAAAAATATTTTTAGTGCTCTTTTCAAATAATGAGCTTCTATTGGTATAAAGCAGGGCCTATTTGAAATAATATATTTTTATTTTCTTTTGTTTTAATTACTATAATAGGTCCTCACTTTTTTCCTTTCTCTTTTTCCTGGAAAGCTAGTGAGTTGATACATATAAAATTGTACTGAACAGTTTTTAAATTTTTTTTTTGCCTGTCCTCTCTTCCTCTTCTGCTAAAAATTCCTTTAATTTTCCTTGGTAACCCCAGAGTTTTCTCTACACAGTTTGAGTCAGGCTTAGGGAATAGGCATGTGACCTAGACACAGCAGAAAAAATATTATATCCCTGTCTATAACTTTTTTATGAATAAACATATGACCTCAGCTAAGCAAGTTCAGTTCAGTTATTTTCAGTTTCTTTGTTAAACCGATAAGGAGTTGTTTTCTTTTGCCCTGAACTGGAAGCTGTGAGGATATGAATCTGAAACTTTACCCAGCCTCCTTGCTGTGAAAAGGGAAACAAAGGCAAGAAACTAAGTGACTAGGTCCTGATGAGGTTCTTTGAATTCTTGGAACCAAATATGCCCAAAGTCAAATTTAAATCTGAACTTTTCAGATACATGATGTAGTAATATTTTCCTTCGGTATGAATCTAGTTTGGTTGGTCTTTATATATTGTGACCCCAAATAGTTCATCTTTAAAAAAAAAGCTTGCTAGTTAAGTGATCCAACCTTATTATGCATCCAAGCCAAAGCATACAGTTCTTTGTGAAAAAGATAAATAAGGAAAAACTAGAATTGGTAGATTATAAACAACATTCCAAACAAGAATCTGAGGTCAAAACTATAATGCTTAGGGTCAAAGAAGTTCAAAACGAAAATCATATTTTCATTCTGAATTAAAAACAAGAATTTGCCCTTAAAAATGTTTCTCCTACCGTCATGTATGAGTGCCATAAAATATTTTTGATCAAAATACTTTTATAGGATGAAATTGTAGACAAAGATTATGAATAGATACATATATCATGGATAATGGTAGGCAGGTTTCACACTTTCAGAGAAGTTGGTTATAACCATGGAAAGCAGAAAGGCTAGAATGAATTCTGTAGTAATGGATTGAAAAATTGAAGCCTTAGCTGCACTTGTGTTGTTGATATATAGAGATAAAGAGAGATATAGATACATGTGATATGTAGACACAGAGACATCTATCTTCTAGTTCTGCTGGTTGGAGGCATAGAAGCTATATTACTCTAATGAGCTTTAAATACCACTTTCCACTGAAAAGACCCAGGACTCATTAAAGAAATGGCTGGGGAAATATGAGATAAGCTTCTGAGTGCTCAAACAATAATGGGCCATTTTAAAAGCAGAAATGAGGCTAGAGATATAGCTCAGTAGTAGAGTGTCTGCCTAGCATGTGTGAGACCCTGGGTTTGAAGCTCAGTACTACAAAAGAAATCTCTAAAAGTAGAAATGATCCAGCTTGAAGAGATTCCCACTGGCCAAATTTAGGACAATTTTCACAAGCTAAACCCACTGAATATATAATCCATCAGTATATATGAGCATAAATGAACATGAATGGGAAAGAAAGAATAGCCTTCTTGTTCTAGTAGAAAGACATGTAATATATGGAAAAGGAAAGACAGAATTAAAAGATATCCATATGGCAACCAACAAAGTAAGAAATTCAAATAAGAATCATCAATGAATGCCAAAAATAGCTGATGAATGTATAAGGAGGAAGGGCATATTTACTATAGCTTCAAAGTTCTGTATCCAAGTTAAAGTTACAAAAGGAAAAATAATAATTTCCATTTATAGAATTCTGATAAGAAACACCTTAACCAAATGATCAAAATTAACATTAATAGTAATGGTACAAGTAACCATATATGCCTCCTAAAATGACATACTGAGAAAACCAAAAAATTCCTGGGGTATTCTTACTAAACATATGAACACCCAAGTCTACTCATGAGGAAATATCAAATAAAACAAAATTGTGAGATGCTCTAAATAATAACTGGCTTCCATTTAACACAAGTGCAAGAATGAGAAAGACAAAGAAAAGCTAAGGAACTGTTCTAGATGAAAAGAGATAAGACATGATATATAACTGCAAAAGAGAACCAGGTTTTCTTCTGTTATTTAAGATATTATTAGGACAATTAGAGAAATCTAAATAAGACCTGTAGATTAAAAAGTAGCATTAAGTCAATGTTAATGCTCTTATTTTGATCATTATTTTGGAGTTAAGAAGTATATTTGGTTTTAGGGAAAGCACACTGAAGTACTTAGGGATAAAGTTTCAGGAAACAAATGATTCAGGAAAAATATGTTTATGTATAGAGAGGAAATCATAAAGCAAATGTGGAAAAACATTAACATTGGGCAATTTGGGTGAAAGGTACATGGCAATTCTTAGTACTATTCTTGTAAGCTTTCTGTAAGTGTGCAGTTACTTCAAAATAGTGAAAAAACAGTCAGCAAAGCATATTTGAAAACAGCAAAAATAAAAACAATACTTTAGGGTGCTTCCCTAAGGAGTCACAGACTTACGGAATTAAAATAAACTAATTGTAATATTAAATAAATACAGGAAATGTAAGGAAGTTTGTATTCAAAATAATATAGATGAGTTGTCACTAAAAATATAATTTGGGTAAAAAAAGTTCACCTTTTATACCTTTTACTTCTGTTTCATAGAATCCCTATGTTTCTACTACAAAGTTACCAGTTCTCTATAATTTCTTTCTTGTTCTCGTAAGAAATCATTTTCCGGAGAATGTTTTTCTTTTTCCTGCTCAAGATGATGACCATTTCTCTTCAGGAGAGAAAACCTGCCCTCCTCCCACTTCTTTCCCATTTGCATACTTAGAATGAGAACAGATGCTTCCACATGTGGTGTTTATTAACCAAGGGGACTGCTTTCAGGCTTCTTACTTGCCTACATTTGTGCTGGTCAAATACCCATTTCCGATTGATCACTGAACATCAGTATGATGTGCACCTCCTGCAAAAGTTCTTAGTTCTAAACAGGGTCTAAAATAATGCAGAAATAATGATCTGATATAGTCATTCTCCTACCCCTAGTGCTCAGCTCTAAGAAATGCTAAGAGATGGGGTCTCTAAGAATCATCAGAATGCAGTGATCTCTTCTTTTCTTTGCCTCTATCTAATCCTCTTCACTTAGATAATATACTCCCGCTAAGCACAACATACCGTCCTCAATATCAACTCCCTAAATGCTGCCCATCAGTGGTTTGTAGGAGATATAATCTCTGGACAAGTATATAGAAAAATTGGGAGTGAAGAAGATGGATAGTTTGACCTGTCCTCTGGCTGCTTGCAATGAGCAGTTGGGATGGTTTGCTGAACTAAGAGTGAGAAAGGAGGGAAGGGTCTTCTTGCTTCTAGGTGGAAAGGCTTACCCACTTAGTTAAGGTGGGATGTGGTTGTGTTTTAAAATCTGGCCTCATTAAACATGCAAATAATATAAATTCATTTCAGATTCTGACACTAGGAAGATTGTCAGTTTTTTCATTATGAATTTTTTTTTTTTTTAGCATCCTTATGGGCATTTCAATAGGAAGTTGCAAGAAGTGTATTTTGAGCGGCAAGCCAGATGCCATTTTAAAGTGAAATCTTGAATTAATTAGTTAAGGCAGATAGCAAGAAGCAAACAAAAACATAAACTCCTCTACAGCACATAAGCAAACTGAAAGAATTTTGGAGCAGTGAAGTTATTCACATTTCAACAATCTGACAAAAGGGTATCAAGATTTATTGAATAGTTCATTGAAGACCCAAAAAGAAGCAACATCATATTTTCTACCTCAAATAACTTCATTTAATTAGTAAACACCATAGATATTAAAACTAAGAAAACTGGGTAATATAAATTAATAACTTTTCTCTTTATATGATAGTTATTTACCTGAGAAGGAAGTGACTTTTGCTTTAGAATAGCAACAGACTTACAATGATTTTTCTGTTATTAAACACACTTCATTTTTAACTTCAAGTTTAAATAAACATTATACATTAGATAAGTTTCATGTTTATTTAGCATTAAGGCCACTGCTAGAGAATGAAGCCATCCCTTCTGGGTAGCTGGGTTCATAGACTTGTCAAGTGGAATAGAGGCCAAGTCCCCACTGACTCTTTTGACTTAAGAGCCTGTGTACTGTGCACACACTGTACAAATTCACACAGCAGCCTTTCTTACATATTGAAGAACTCAAGATTTTAAAGACAAGGAGAAAAAACATCACCAGGATCATGAAATTAAAATCATATTAATTTTGTGTTTGATAGCTTAGTTTTCAACCTATTCATATATTTATGCACATTACTAAGAAAGAAAAACATCCATAGTCAATCACTGCCGCAATAATAAAAGGAAAATTCCTAGAATGTTAGGTACATAAATGTGAGAGAATGGCAATTTAGCTAACAAGCACAAGGAAAATGTGTACTTGTTTTCTGAGGCAGCAAGACAGAAAACCTATGTGTAATTAATACAAGTACAATCATAATAATTTGGTTTCCTCTAATTGAGATTGATCATATCTGACAACTTAGTTGATTATTATAGCTATTACAGAGGATCAAACCATTTTATGACTAATATAAACTACTATATAAGATATTGAAGTATATTTAAATCACACCATTTTTAATTAGCTCTTGAAATGAAAAAATTACATAATTTTAAAATTGGGTATTTTTCTAAAAAACATACACAAAACCTTTTTGAATGATTATTCATAGGATGGATTGCAAAGCTTTCATAAACAGCATATTTTTGTTTTTGTTAAATGTTACAAAGCACAAGTGTAAAAAATTTAGAAGGTGTATATGTATGTATGTATGTATGTATGAATGTATGAATGCATATATATATATATACTCACTGAATTGGCATTTGTTGGGTTTGGCCAAGGTCTACCACCACCTGGACCCCTATAAAACAATATAATAAATGAAATTTTAACCTATGCTTTGAATGTTTCACAATAAGTAACAAATCATAAAATATTAGTGTTTATAATTAAGTTACCATGCAATTCTGAAATTACTCTCTTTATGTTTATTTTATTAGCTTTATTATTTCTTAAAAAAACTTTTATCATTTCATGAAGCAGTTTCTTCCCAAATTAAATTGCTTCTAGTAAGGCCAGTTTTATTTTAATATTCTCTTTATTTTTATAAACAAATAATGGTAATAACCTATTGCAATTCATACATGTATCTAAATCATTATAACATTTTTGGAGCAAAAGTCACTGATTACGGAATAAAAAAACACTATAATCTTGTGACATCAATATAAGAGCCATCTGTATCTCATTTAAAGTGAAATTATTTGTAAAATATAAGTAGTATTAATTTTTGCTCTAATTATTAAACTATGAATAAATATAAAAAAGGTAACAAGAGATATCTTCTTTACCAAAAATCGAAGTATATATATGTATATATATATGTATATATATATGTTACTTTATATGTCTATATACAAAATCTATATTTCAGTGCCATTGATGATTTAGTTAGTAGTAATGAGGAAATTACTTTCTTATTTTCATATTTTTAGTTCAAGGTAGTGGCCAGAGTAAATATTGAAAAAATAAGAGGTAACCTATGTGAATGCATGATAATCTATTACTTTATTTTAGAGTGGAGGAGAATGTTGTATATTCCATACCTTTTAAGGGCATACATTTTTTAAAACAAACTTAATATCCGTTAATTAAATCAAAAAGGTCCCATTCTCATATTCTAGTACTTAGTGAGTAAAGTCTGTCTTGTGAAAAGGAGACTATTATCAGCTATTCTTTTGTAATTAGTACTATTCAAAAATTCCTTTTCCCAGGCTGGGATTGTGTAGTTCAGTGGTAGAGCATTTGCCTAGCATGAGTGGGGCACTGGTATTTGATCCTCAGCTCCACATAAAAATAAATAAAATAAAATAAAGGTATTATGTCCATCCACAACTAAAAAAAGATATTTAAAAAAATTCCCTTTCCCTCCAGTCACTAGGAGTGTGAAACTTTTTTTAAGAGAGAGAGAGAGAGAGAGAGAGAGAGAGAGAGAGAATTTTTTAATATTTATTTTTTAGTTTTCGGTGGACACAACATCTAATTTTATTTTTATGTGGTGCTGAGAATCCAACCTAGTGCCCCGTGCATGCCAGACGAGCGCGCTACCGCTTGAGCCACATCCCCAGCCCAGGAGTGTGAAACTTTTTAATAAAAAAAAAAAAATAGGTTCCCTGATTCTATAGACCTTAAACGTAAAGTACTAGGCATTAAATAAAGATGCTATCCAAGTTAGTTATGGTATTACTCATATTTGGTTGGAATATTTAGATCTGTTTTTAGTTTTGTTTTGGGATTATCTGGGGTATAAGGGCAGGAAAGAGTGAATGTAGACCCTAAGAACATCACATTCTTAGGGTCTACATGTTTTTCCCAGTTTGATTTGAAGAATAAAAGAGTAAAGTAAGATACTAAAAGGAAACTTGATTAAAGTCTTGTCCATAGGTAAAAAAGATGAGGAGCACTTGCACTGTCTCAGGAAGTTGTTGCCTTTATAAGATGATGATGAGATGATGATGATGAAGAGGAGGAGAAATTTACAATTAATTACTGACTTTAGAAAGATGATTCTACATATAAGATTCCAGATCCTAACGGGAAGAAAATAAGGTAAAATATACTATGTGTATTGATCAAGTAAAACATTTGGGTAGTAAGACCTAGCCAAATGACTTGTTTAATGTTAGATAAAAATGTAGTTAAAAAACTGGGAAATATCTACCTTTACACAACATTAAAATAAATCATATCCAAATCATGGAAAAATTTAAATGATTATATATAATGACCTCATAATTTTGAAATATTATATCTAAATGATGTTATATAAATAAGACATTTTATGTTATTTTAAAATCTAATATTAAAATAACATGTAAATGTTAAATTATAAACATACTGTTATAAATAATATTAAATATCTTTTGTTCATTTTAAGAGTTTGATAAATACTTATATATTTCCAGCATATTATGTATTTATATTAAACTTTATTTTAATATTATAAAAGGTTATGTATTGATAATTCATATGAAAAAAATGTAAATTTCGCAAACACATACAATGGGGTACAATGAGTAGTTCTAATAGAAAAATTACTTAAACTCAGTAATTCCCACTCCTTTTGGAAGTCATCAGTATCATCAAGAAAGTAAGCTATAAATTATAGCAGACATTATTTTGAAAGAAAATTTCTGTATAAGTATAGTTATATAGAATCAGGCTGGCCTGTTAGAGGTATTTTAATACTGAATCTTAAATTTTTTGGAAATCTGTGAAAATATAGTTTTTATTTAGAAATGTACCACTAAGTTTCCTTTAAAAAAAATCTGCAATGCATTTGAAAACATTTGGTCACAGTATGTAAATTCGACCTTAAGTTACTTAAATTAATATTTGGGTTTTACTTATATACCTGTAGCACTGCTTGTATAAACACTGAAAATAAACTTTTAATTTTAAATGACACTTTGTACAATTTATCCTGAGTTTAGAGCATGGAAATGTAAATATATCAATGTAACTGTTAGCCAATATTTTTTAACAACAAAGTTATCAAAATTTTATTCTAAATGGAGTATTCTATAATAAAGGGATACGGTTGTCAATTAGAGTACATTATTTAATTTTTTAGTGGCCAAATTTGGGTATTTTTCTTTTTATTATATTCTCATGTCAAATAAGAAAGAATGACAAGCTAAAGAAAAATCATCCAGATATGATTTTCTGGCAGGTTTCTCCTTCTCAACTCACAGATATTTTAAGTAGTTAAGTAGTTTGAAGATACAGTTAAAAAAACACCAGTTTTTTCTTTCATTTTTAAGGAACCCAACATTTAAAAAAGATGACCAGAAGACAGCTACAAATGTCAGTTAGGAAAACTTGTTTGCCATTACCCAGACTTACTTTGTTTTAAAGATAATAAATAATGAAGTAAATTTCAATTAATCTTACTCTTTTAAGTGCAATGGAGGTAAAACGTATTTTTTATGTCTCTTTAAACTTATTTTACTTTGTTGGGACCATATCAATAAAATAATTATTCTCTCCAATTTCCATACTGGAGAAGTTTCTCTGCCAGAAGAAAACATTTAGAAGTATATAAATATTTACATTTTCGTTGTCTTTGAAGGAATCTAAATTTGTAGAAATGGAAAATAGAATAACACTCCAAAAAGAAATAGTAACAGAGCTGGGGCTGTAGCTCAGTGTAGAGTGCTTGCCTAGCACACAGATCCTCAGCATCACATATAAATGAATGAATGAATGAATGAATGAATGTATTGTGTCCATCTACAACTAGAAATGTTAAAAAAAGGGAAAGAAATAGTAACAAATAATAGAAATTGAAATCTGTAACACTTAGAAAGTTGTGTGTGTGTACATGTGTGTGTATGTGTGTGTGGGGTGTTACTGGGGAACAAAACCCAGGGTCACTCTACCACTGAGCTATATCCTCAGCCCTTTTTATTCTTATTTTAACAAGGTTTCCTAAGTTGCAAAGGCTGGCTTTGATCTTGCAATCCTTCTGCCTTGGCCTCTTGGAGTAGTTTGGGTTTACAGACATGCACCACCATGTCCAACCAAAAATTTGAAATTCTTTAAGAACTAGAAATTACATTAATAGTAAAACACTACATAACAGAAAATATTTTAAAGTATCTAGAATACTTAAATAAGAAACCCAAACCCAAATATCAACATAAATTATAAAATTAAAGTCCTATCCATATATTTAGACCTGATAGTCTAGGCACTTAAATGTACCACTCTAAAGTATATACTTAAATATATCTGTGTGAAAGGAACTAGATAATCTTAAGCAGCTATTAGAGTATCTTAATGGTCACATGAAATTTTTTCTCTTACTATCCAAAACAGGTTAAACTAAAGTTGGCAGTGTACAAAATAATATTAGATAATTCAGGGTTGATAAGAGTATTCAAAATAATACTCCTTAAAATCTATTGCATTTTAAATTGAGAATCTCAGGCAACTTTTATATATTTCTCCATTTTTTTGTTTAAGCTTTTGAGATAATCACAAATATCATTCACTCCCTTTCGGAGTGATCATTAATAAAAGTCTTTAAGAAACTCAAGAAGAGTCAGACTTCCTATCTATTCATTTTTATTTTAAAAGTGAAAAGATATGATGGGAAAATATGACCTCCTCCCTGCACCCTGTTCTGTTAATTTTAAGTCTGGGTAGTATCCACCTATTAATCTATTTTCAGTTTTAGCAAAATCATAAAAGAACTCTACATACATCAAAAGTGCATGTTTCACAGTCTATCTATCTCCAATACCATTAAGTTATGGCAAAATTGTTCAATTTGATATGGAAGTAACTAAAACATGGAATGATGGAAAATATATTTGAGGAGACACTTATCGACTACATAGAACATTCCAATTATTTCTAATTTAAACACTTTATTTAGGCCACATCATGGAATTAATCCATTGATGAATTAAAGAAAGTCACTAGTAAGTGCATGATGTATATAGGACTTTGGGTGCAAGGTGGACAATGAAAAATAAATGAAAATTAAATAACAAACTGCATTACATTTGACTGTCAGAAATATATTCCTTTATTTGGTTAGAAAAGTCTTTCAAGTTAAAAAAAAAAAAGAACTTTAGTGTACTCTCTACTGAAGTGCATCTTGATTTTTCAAAAGAAAATTCATTCTGTGCCCTGGAAAGTTCTTTAATATAGAAAATATTACCACAGGAAATGCTTCTTGTGCTTAGAGTAGTCCCAACAAAGCAAAAGTAAAGACACATAAATATTTGTAAAATTTAAAAACTTCACTCTTAGTAATCACTATCATTAAAATGAGGTAAGCGATATTCAGTTATCTACTTTTGTAAAGTCATAGTCCTAGTGTTGGCATCTCTTTATACTTTTGTATAGATTCTACAAGGAAACTGCAAAAAGAAACAGGCTAAAGGTTGTTATTTATGGCATCTAAAAATAGAGGGGGGTAAAAACTAATAGTTTCAAGGCAAGGAAAAATAAAAGAGATTATGTTGTGAAAACTGAAGCACACTGCAGATCATGTTTACTTCATTTTGGTCCTACACCAAGACTGAAGTGCTCAAATTGCTTTAGAAACCAGTGTCAAGTTAGAAGACAGAAAAACAGAATACTTTGCTAAATACAAAAGTATAGCATTTTGCTTACATGTTCATTCCAGGCATTCCGGGACCACCTAAAGCATTCAGTGGGGGTCTCATTGCACCTCCATAGTTCTGTAATGATAACCAAGGGTCAGACTACCACAAAACAAAAAAACAAAACCAAAGAGGAGGGGGGAAAGAAAGGAGAGCAGGTTAATGATTTCTCTATATAACTTCTGATTGGATAAGGCCTGTGTAATTCATTCTTTGTAGAGTCCACTCTTGTATTTTTGCTTCTAGTTTAACAATTACTTTGGTTTGTGTCTTTTAAAAACTATATGAATATGGAAGATCATTGGAGCATATTAAGTGATTAGGGTATGGTTGCAATTACAATGCTCAAACTTTATTAATTTCCTACTATCTCTACCTTGGTGAGCTTTTTCAAATAAAACCTTTCATAAATTCAACATTCTGTTCTTAAAGAAAATATTTATTCAACAGGTTTGAAATTGTCAGACCCAAAACAATTACATAAAGTCTGAAAAAAAAATCAGAAAAACTCAACTCAAGGAAGTTGAATGTAAATTTTTGTTCACAGAACAACATATTTAACATGGAAATGCACTAATATTTACAAATATACAAAACACAGAAAACTTTACTCAAAATATATATGCATGAATTATATGACTCAATAAACTTTATTTAATACCTATTACATGGATTTAAATATGAACCCATTGTACTGTTTTAACACGTGTATCATATTAGCTTAGTTTAGCTGCCACAGGGACCAAAAAGTTAATTTTATCATTGTCATGTTATTATATTTTGATACTATCAATGACTTTCACAGTTGGCTTTCTGATAGTACTATACTTATTCCTCCTATTCTTTGGAGTAATATTTTTCAATTTCTTCTGCTGGCTCTTTTTATTTTGCTAACTCTTTACATGTTGCTTTTCGCCAAATTCTAGCTACAGTATTTTCTTCAATAAACATACATTTATGGGTAATCTTATCTGCTATCATTTGTTCATCAACTTTTTATGTATTAGGAATTCCAAATCTTTGTATTTTATCATTATATCTTGCTAGGCTCCTAGATAATCCAAATGTTGAACTTCATAAAGGCTGTTTACCTGTGGATACTACTACCTCATGCTTAACATATCTAAAAGTAAACTCATTTTTACTTTCTGATGACAAAGTTCTTTACATTGCCTTCCTTTATTCTGTGGTGTAATGTTCCACACAACTGTCTAAGCTAAGAGTTTTCAGGAGCACTCTGATATTGCTTTTTTTCACTCAATTCCCATATTTAGTTAGTAACCAAAGTTTACTGATTCAATTTTTTTCCTATGAAATAGGAAAAAAATTACTATCTCAAGAGCTATCAGTAATCTTTGTCATGTACTGAAACTATTGCACTATCTTAATCAGTTTCTCTGATTTATTTTCTTCCTTTCCCAATCTATTTGACATTCCCTCAAGAATTATCTTTCTAAAACTCAGTATTAAATTCATGTCACTGAAAAGCTATGATGACCCAGATTACCTATCAAATAGGTCTAAACCTCTCAGCATGGCTATATAGTTATTCAGAGTTCAGCCTATCTTTCCGCCTTCATTTCCTGTAATTTTCATTTTCATTCCCTATTCCTAACCATATTCTCCAGCCTACTGGATTTCTTGAAAATTTAGAACATACATTTCTATACTCGTGTTCTCATTTTCCTTGATTTTTTTACTTAGAAGGTGCTAAGATGACAAGGAAATAAATCAATGAGAGAAGGTCCATAACTTCAGCAGGAAAGACATACTTAATAAATTAAATTACTTAATTGCATACTATTCTTATTTGTATTAGATTGTACTTCAAGGAAATCTTATTTAAACATTTCAATTTGTGGGCTATGGGATAGTGGGATGGTTTCAATCTGCATTTGAGTCACTGGTTAAAAGGATAGCTATTTCCCTTAACCTGTGGAGCAAACACAGTGATGGCAGCAGCAGTATTAGCAAGAGCTTTCTGAGAAAACAAACAAACAAACAAAAAACTAGTCACTGGAACAAAATATAAATAGTAAAGTAAACTAGAAATGTTTTACAAGAAATGCGTTCCCTTATTTTTTGGTCTCCAGGGATCTGTTTTATTTTATATTAAAAAAAAAAACTTCCTTATAGCTCTGGGGAAAAAAAAAGCCACACACACTTCTTTAAATCTCCTGCCACAGGTCAATGTCCTCTGCCCATCTTTTATGTGTGAAATTAGGCCAAGTATTCTCCCAACGATTTCCCATCCTTAATTTCCTTATCTGCAAAGTGATAATATTATTATCCTTATAGATTTTATAGAAATAAATGAAATATAAAGTACATATCATAATGCTTGATGAATTAAAAGCAACACAGAACTTGGTACTCAAAAATTGTAGCTGTTCTTATGAATGCTAATAAAACTTATAAAGGAGCCTTCTTTTCATCAGCTTGCCATGAATCCTTAACTCAACAGAATTACTAGCTTGTTTATGTGTGACTTCTTGAATTATTACATAAAGAGTATGTACATTTCTCTTTTAACCTTTGTCTATTATGTAATAGTTTTTCTAGATGTATCTACATATCCTGCTAGATATAAATAACCTGAAGGCAGAGTATCTGTTTTACTCATCTTTGTATACTCAATGCTTAAGTATGATGTCTGACACATAGAAGGCCTTCAAAAAATTAATTAAACTGAATTGTCACAGGAAATGTGTAAGAAATCATTCAATATAGTACACACTGGTAGATTTATAAAATATTTTTTATTTTGTGAATAATATAAAACAAAAAGAAATTAAGAAGAAAAGGAAGACTAACAACTGGCTTTCCAAGTGGTATCAACAAAGACAGAATGGGAAGAGCTAATTTAGAATCACTGAATTTTAAAGCTGATGGCAACTATACAATTCCATCTGTTTAATCCCTCTTCCAATGCAATGTTCCTGACAAAATGGCTGTTCAGACTCTGATTAGAAAGTTTATAAAAAGTCTTTCCATGATTGGACAGTTTAATTTCCAGGAAGTTTTTCCCTGTATGGAGTTGAATGCTACCAACTATGATAGATTTGAAAATACAGAACCAGTTTACTCTCTTCTTATGTGACAGCCTATCATATACTTTCATCTCACTATCTCTCCATCTAGTTTGCAATCCTTCCTTGAATTAACTTATTTATACTTCAGATTTCTAGAGGAACTAAACATAGATGGGCAATTTTGGTGATTTTTTTCTATTTAATCATATGACACTTGCTGAGCTTAAAAATGCAGTTAGCTAGGTATATCTTATTAAAAAATCAAGTAGAAAAATGCAATATAGTTCTAGGAAAGATGTTTTTCTTCATTAAATAAATAATCTTGCTTTTTTTATCAAAAGGATATTAATACCAATTTAACAATCATGTACTGTTACTACACTTAGATCTAAAATACATTGAGGAATAGGGAAAACATGCCTGAATTTGGGACACACTGTTATTTCTTCATCCATGAAAAAAATGTTTATTACACACTTACCATGTTCTGTGTGTGCAATCAGCATTATTCAAGAATCACTAGACTATACATATATATATTTCTTTGCTTAGGACTTCAATTGTTCTAATAAATAACTATTGTCCTCCTTTATCAGATTGCTCTAAAATTATGGAAATAATATTTATGAAAAATAGGTGATTTTTGTTTGTGATAAAGTTAGAGGCAAAGTGCCAGAGACTGTTTCTATAATACAACTAAATAAAGGCAGACATTCTGTTCTTGGGAGTCATCTATATGACATCTGCTGTTAAAGTTATTTTCACCTTATCATTCAAGAAACACACCTAACATCACAAAATTTCACAGTCTGTAATGTGCATAATTTACATGGCAATTGTTATGAAGGTAAATATTTTATAAGATTCCTCCCATTCCAAATGATTTGACTTTTTTCTTTTTGTGGCATTCATATGAACGTGACTCAAGTTTTTATTTAAGTCTCTGATATTTAAAAAAATAAATGTCTGGTTATAAAAGTGACTTCCTTTAACTCTTTTACATGATTTTAAAAAGTCATTGTAAGAGGGGCTGGGTTGTGGCTCAGTGGTATAGCACTTGCCTAGCATGTGTGAGGCATTGCGTTCGATCCTCAGCACCACATAAAAGTAAATAAACAAATAAAGGTTTTAAATAAATAAAGATTTTTGAAAAAAGCCACTGTAGAAATTTCTGGTTTCTGAGGTACACTAATACCAAACTACTTTATTACTCTCATACACAAATAGGTAGCAAGGATACTACTAATCCAAATGGGAGAAATAAACTGTTGTCTTAGATTTTAAAGATGCAAAGAAAGTATTCAAATTTACATAATAAACTTAGTTATTAAAACTCATCAATAAGAAGATTACTCACCAGAAATGGGATTTTATTATCTGTTGCAATTTACTTATAACATAAAACATATAGCTGTTTATAACATAAAGCATAGAGACCAATAAGCTTTTTATATCTGCATTTTCAAATGAGATCAAGCTTACATATCACTTGTACACCTCTTCAAACACTGCAAAAGTGACTCATTTTAAATTATAATTTTTAGAATATGAAAAACTAATACTAATAATAGTCTGAGAATGCCAAAAGCTTGAAGAGCAGCTAGCTGAAAAATACGTGGACAGAATGAAGTATGACAACTATATTAAAGGCAAGAAGTTTATGATGCTTATTTTCAATAAATCAATTAAAAAAATCTTTTGGAAAAGATCCCTTATGTTCTGTATAGACACATTGGTTGGTACAGTTTTAAAGACTAAAGGTACCTTTAGTCAATGAAGTATCCTATAGTTCTTATAAATTCTAACTGCTGTTAGTAGCCTAACAATGACAGGTTAACATAAATCATCATTTCTAATATAAGTAGAAATAGGAATAAGCAATTTAAACATCTAAATGAAAGTTTTATAAAATCTTAAGAAAATACTTAGGTAAGAACTGACCTAGATGAAATTGGTTTCTTCTGGTTTGGGGGCTACCACATACATTTACAGAATGAGTTTTTTTCCCCTCCATGTAATATGGCATCTCTGAGAAATACGGTTTTATGAGCCTTGTGTTTTAATATAGTTTATATTATTGTTGTTTAGGAACTCCTAGGTCTTAGTCACATTATCTGGGTTTTGGGCTCTTAATTCTTTGACTCAATTTAATTCTTTAAAAATAGAATCAATGAAGCAAATTTCCAAAACTGTCATTTATAAAACCTGCAAAAGCTAGCTTTATGATGTGCTAACTTCTGACCCATGAGATACACATTTGAAAGTCTGAATTGTCAGTTAGTTTCCTTAAAATACAAAATCATAAAATTAATTTCTTCCACAAGAAAAATTTCCAGGACAAAACAAGGGTGTTTCAGCTCTAATAACCAATATCATGAAATCTGCTGAACACATTACCCACAGTTAGGACAGGTTCAACCTCAGTGTGTTCTTTAGGCAAGTTTTGGTAGAGCAGTCAAGTAACATCTGATATATACCAAAGTATTATCCTTGTTTAATAATACACACTATAATGTTTGTTTCTAAATAGTTTTCTAATGTAATGAAGAAATATGATTGTGTATAATAAATTGTTAATTACCTTCTTTAAAAGGTTTTATATTTTACATTTATTCCATTCAATATATTAAATTAACTGGGCTTTATATAACTCAACTATTTCCTTATCATGCTAAGCAAAAGGGTACTAGTTATCTTTTTGTAATAAAGACTATAATATATTTCTATGCAGTATATTTTCCTGAGTAAACTAAAGACACACATGATAGCACCTTGTTAAAATATTGTCTAGTGTTATATCAATTTTGAAATATTACAAATATTATATCCTCAAGAGCCTGACAACTATGTATATGAAGACTTTTGTGTGTGTACATGTGCTGAGGATTGAAGTTAGAGTCTAATGCATGCTCTATCCTATACTCCCAGCCCCAAAGTATATCATAATTTAATGCATACACTAAAAACTAGCAAATAAGAGTCTGTTATATAAGATAAAGGCAAAAAAGCTCTGCATTGAGTTTTTCTGCACTGATTGTTTACCTGTGGTCCTAAGGGCACCATTCCTCTTGGAGGAGTCATTCTCTGCATTGGCCCACCCATATTTGGATGTCCTAAAAAAAGTATGAAGATATTAGAAATGTAATGGTCACGAGTGCTAAACTGGAAGCTAGCCTCCTTCCCTCTAGGTGTATCTGTATCTTATTTACCAAGTGTCTGATGACCTCTTATTTTGGTTTCTGTGGTCAGTTTCTATGGTCACTATTTTACCTCTAACTACCACCTATTCACATTCCCCCTTAATCTCCTGCTTGAAAATTTCTTCCTACTCTAGGTCGAGTAGAAAGAAATGCTTCTTTCCTAGCATTTGTTCCTCTTTCTAAAAATAGTACAACTGAGCTTTAAATATCTGTAGATATTTAAATATCTTTCAACATCTCTATGGAAGGACCTGATTATTGGGAATGTTAAACCAATGAAGTCATTACTTAGCATCCTCTTTGCTTCTGCCATCTTTCAGGTGGATTAACTTCTCTATCTGAAAAAGGCAGAGGAAATCATAAATGATATAATAATTTAGCTTCCTACTTGTTAGAAATTGTGTAAAGTATTTTAGAAGTTATTAATTAAAATACAGAATTTTGGACATTTATGTATTCTGTTTTTTATTATTACCACCCTTTCTATTGTACATAACTAGTTGAAAACATAAATCATTCAGCCATATTACTTGAAATTACAACTGGTAAAATTATGGAAGGCTTAATAAATAAAAATTTCATTAACAATAAAGAATTTCTCTTTGGTTCATTTTCATTTCTACATTAGTCACCTTGTTGTCGCGTTGGGTCCATTCCACTGGGGAGTAATGGCTGACTTCCTGGGACACCTCCAAGTGCCTAGCAATTTGGTAAACAAAATAAAAATTAAATATTGTAAGCATTTGTAAATAAGTGCTTTTAATATTTATTATTTAATTCCTATAACTACATAATGCATTTAAGTATTTCTCAAAATTTTTATATTTCACAGTAATCTGTAAATTTCATAGTTCTATATACTTAATATAAGTTCTTGGCTCTAAAAAGATTCTCCTTTGCCCAATTTTGTGGCAAACAAAATAAGCATTTTGGGGAAAACAAAAGTCTACACAAAAGCCATCCTATTTCTTCCTCAGAAGTATAATGATTTTTCTAAAATTTAATTTGCTAAAGTTACTGAAATAACTAATTTAGCTTCCAAGTAAGTTATTTTGGGGGCTGGGGTTGTGGCTCAGTGGTAGAGTGCTTGCCTAGCATGGGTGAGGCACTGGGTTTGATCCCCGGAACCACATAAAAAAACTAAACAAAATAAAGGTATTGTGTCCATCTATATAAAAATATATATATTTTAAAAACAGTAAGTTATTTTTACAGAATATTTTACTTATTTGTTGTTTCAATAGAAACAGGACTAAAATGCCAACAGACCAATGTATTTTTTATTTTAGTCACATTTGACCTAAGAAATGATTAAGAAAAATATTCCTATTAAGTTCAAACAATTTGGTTAGACAGGAAAAGGAAACTAGAACTGAAAAAGATTAAGATTAATAAGGATTGTTTTACGCTGGAATACAAAATAGATAAGGTTTGCTTTATGCTGGGATACATACTAAACACAAGTTTCTAACAGTTGTCTGAGCTGCATGTAGAAGTGAATCTACCTACTAGAGATTTAAATTTGCTGATGCTATGAGTATCCACACATCATAATGAGAACTTCTATAAAGATTTGCTAATTTAACTTAAAATTAGAAAATCTTATTTAGTTAAATATTCAAATATTTCAGAGAGATTTAACATTGATAAACTTATAGAACCAGATAAGAACTGTTTCCTTAATTGTTATCATTTGCGATGCAGTAAAGAATAGTAATTTCTTAATCCACTTTCATAATTCTTTTAATTTTTTGTTTACAAGCACACCCAATATATATCTATTATAGAGTTCCAATTATGAGCTTTTCCTTGCTTACTTCTCTAGGCTAATTTTTTGTCACTGGCACATTCACATTCTAATCTTCACCTGTACAAATTTCCTTTTCTCCTATTCATGTTTTCATCAATAATATCCAAATGCCAACCATTAGAACAAAGACAAATGCACCATTTTAAAAAAAAAAAGGAAAGAAAAACAAGACAAAATACAAATCAAACTTAAAAATCTTTCCTCAGAATGCTCAAAGTGGCCAGTGTTGACATCTTTTAGATCTCAGCGTTGGGATCACTTTCTAACAAATTGTCTACTACAGCCCCAGCCTGAGGGTTTAGTCCTCCATATATATTGTGTGTGTGTTTAAAATTTCAAACTTACGAAAAATTGACTGAACAGTACATAAAATCACCATATAATTTGACCCAGTTCCCCAGTTGTCAATATTTCATCACATTTGTCTTATTTCCACCCTTTTTCTCATTATCCCTTTCTGTTTGTTCCTGTCTGCTGTATGTCTATCCATCCATCCATCTACATGTGTGTATAGTGTTCACATGCATGCACCCCCACACACATACACACATACCTGTATTTCAGACAGCCATTAGGCATCAATATCTGGATTATCAGAGTATTCTTATTAATCGGACACACCACTTTTAGACCCTCTCAATAAACAATGAGTTTGAAAATCTAAGTATGTGTACAGGTACAAACATATGCATACTCATGTACATCTATAACTAATTTTTATCTCTATTTGTGTGTATGTATATGGCACATCTGCATGCCATAAATTAAGTAATACAATAAATCCATAATCTCTAGTTGAAATCAGATACCTCAAGATTATTGTCAGCCCTCATCCTTTCTCATTTGTAAATATCTAACACTGGAAAAGCTGGCTTTCATTATTTTCAATATGTGTTCTTATTTACTAATCAGTGTATATAATACAAATCACATCATAACCACAATGGCCACTTCCTATCTTTTCATAGCCTCTTTCTAGCTCCTGGATTTCCTAGCATGGAGCGAAGGCACAGACTTTTTTTTTAATGTGTTCTTAGAAGATATACCTCACTTTTACAGAACTTGTATACCACCATATTTTCTTCTCTATTTATTTTCTTCTCTATTATCTCCAGACTATAACCTCTGTAAGCATGGGGCCCTATCTGTTCCAACTAGCACAGAATGATAAATAATTATTTAAGGAATAAAATTTAGATTAGATAATTTTAGAAATCATTAGTGATACAATTGTAAGCATAGAACTAACTTCAAAGAATGAAGACAAAAGTAAAATATTTAATTCTTAGCTGGGTATGGTGACTCAAGTTTGTAATTCCAGCAACTCAGGAGACTTACGCTGGAGGATCACAAGTTTGAGGCCAGCTCCAGCAAGATTTTGTCTTGAAGTTAAAAACAAAACAAAACAAAACAAAACAGCTGGGTATGTAGCTCAGTATTAGGGTATCCATGGGTTCAATCCCCAATATGAGGAGAGGTATGGTGGGGGTGGGAGGGGAGATTTGATTCTTTATTTTTTATTATTTTTAATTTTTTATTTTGGGTTGTTCAAAACATTACAAATTTCTTGACATATCATATTCCACACTTTGATTCAAGTGGATTATGAACTCCCACCTTCACCCCATACACAGATTGCAGAATCACATCAGTTACACATCCATTGATTTACATATTGCCATACTAGTGTCTGTTGTGCTCCGCTGCCTTTCCCATCCTCCACCCTCCCGCCTCCCCACCTCTCCCCTCCCCTCCCCTCCTCTCTCTCTACCCCCTCCACTGTATAACCCTGAGGGTCACCTTCCATTACCATGCAATTTCCCTTCTCTCTCCCTTTCACTCCCACCTCTCATCCCTGTTAAATGTTAATCATCTTCTCCTGCTCTTCGTCCCTACTCTGATCTTAGTTACTCTCCTTATATCAAAGAAGACATTTGGCATTTGTTTTTTAGGGATTGGCTAGCTTCACTTAGCATAATCTGCTCTAATGCCATCCATTTCCCTGTAAATTCTATGATTTTGTCATTTTTTAATGCAGAGTAATACTCCATTGTGTATAAATGCCACATTTTTTTTATCCATTCGTCTATTGAAGGGCATCTAGGTTGGTTCCACAGTCTTGCTATTGTGAACTGTGCTGCTATGAACATCGATGTAGCAGTGTCCCTGTAGCATGCTCTTTTTAGGTCTTTAGGGAATAGACCAAGAAGGGGAATAGCTGGGTCAAATGGTGGCTCCATTCCCAGCTTTCCAAGAAATCTCCATACTGCTTTCCAAATTGGCTGCACCAATCTGCAGTCCCACCAGCAATGTACAAGTGTACCCTTTTCCCCACATCCTCGCCAGCACTTGTTGTTGTTTGACTTCATAATGGCTGCCAATCTTACTGGAGTGAGATGGTATCTTAGGGTGGTTTTGATTTGCATTTCTCTGACAGCTAGAGATGTTGAGCATTTTTTCATGTACTTGTTGATTGACTGTATGTCCTCCTCTGAGAAGTGTCTGTTCAGGTCCTTGGCCCATTTGTTGATTGGGTTGTTTGTTCTCTTATTGTCTAATTTTTTGAGTTCTTTGTATACTCTGGATATTAGGGCTCTATCTGAAGTGTGAGGAGTAAAGATTTGTTCCCAGGGTGTAGGCTCCCTATTTACCTCTCTTATTGTTTCTTTTGCTGAGAAAAAACTTTTTAGTTTGAGTAAGTCCCATTTGTTGATTCTAGTTATTAACTTTTGTGCTATGGGTGTCCTTTGAGGAATTTGGAGCCTGACCCCACCGACTGTAGATCGTAGCCAACTTTTTCTTCTATCAGACGGCGCGTCTCTGATTTGATATCAAGCTCCTTGATCCATTTTGAGTTCACTTTTGTGCATGGTGAGAGAAAGGGATTCAGTTTCATTTTGTTGCATATGGATTTCCAGTTTTCCCAGCACCATTTGTTGAAGATGCTATCCTTCCTCCATTGCATGCTTTTAGCCCCTTTATCAAATATAAGATAGTTGTAGTTTTGTGGATTGGTTTCTGTGTCCTCTATTCTGTACCATTGGTCCACCCGCCTGTTTTGGTACCAGTACCATGCTGTTTTTGTTACTATTGCTCTGTTATATAGTTTGAAGTCTGGTATTGCTATACCGCCTGATTCACACTTCCTGCTTAAGAGTTGTTTTTGCTATTCTGGGTCTTTTATTTTTCCATATGAATTTCATGATTGCTTTCTCTATTTCTACAAGAAATGCCGTTGGGATTTTGATTGGCATTGCATTAAACCTATAGAGAACTTTTGGTAATATCGCCATTTTGATGATGTTAGTTCTGCCTATCCATGAACAGGGTATATTTTTCCATCTTCTAAGATCTCCTTCTATTTCTCTCTTTAGGGTTCTGTAGTTTTCATTGTATAAGTCTTTCACCTCTTTTGTTAGGTTGATTCCCAAGTATTTTATTTTTTTTTGAAGATATTTTGAATGGAGTGGTTGTCCTCATTTCCATTTCAGAGGATTTGTCGCTGATATACAGGAATGCCTTTGATTTATGCGTGTTGATTTTATATCCTGCCACTTTGCTGAATTCATTTATTAGCTCTAATAGTTTCTTTGTAGAGCCTTTTGGGTCTGCTAGGTATAGAATCATATCATCTGCAAATAGTGATAATTTAAGTTCTTCTTTTCCTATTTTGATGCCTTTAATTTCTTTCGTCTGTCTAATTGCTCTGGCCAGTGTTTCGAGAACTATGTTGAAGAGAAGTGGAGAGAGAGGGCATCCCTGTCTTGTTCCAGATTTTAGAGGGAATGCCTTCAGGTTTTCTCCATTCAGAATGATGCTAGCCTGAGGCTTAGCATAGACTGCTTTTACAATATTGAGGTATGTTCCTGTTATCCCTAGTTTTTCTAGA